AATAATTAATTTGAAACCAAGTTTACATTGCCTTTGTCAGTAGTTTGCTGGGAACTTTCAGTTACGTTACTAATTTCCTCAAATTTGTCCTTCTGGTGCCATGTTCCATCACTGACAACCATTGCCAGTACATTTAAATTAATTCTTTCAGCTATTTCCAAGTTTGATCATTTTCCACGAGGCACAGAAAATTCGCAAGACCGCTAAAGAATGCGTTTCCAGTTCGGTGGGTGTTGGAATTAGCTAACCAGAGCTGATTACTAGCACCAGGTACCTTTTCTGCTCTCCTATCTGCACCGCGGAGCTGAAGCAGCACGATGAAAGCACTTGTTCTAGGACTGGCACAAATGATAACGTATTTGGTGTCAGAAGCAAATGTATGTGCCCCACACAGAGGCAGCTTTTGATATAAATAAGCATAAATTAAGCTATAAGGAATCACATACACCTAAGAGAAGTCTCGGCCAGTGAGTTATTACAGTTCTTCCCACACACACCAGCCCTTAGAGGACACGGTGACACAGGGCAGTGGTGCCTCTTCACCGCCTCTCAGCAAATCAGATAATGTCTTTTTCTAACTTGGCAAGGCAAACACTTAAATAATTTTTATTCCAAAGTTGTCTTACCAGTAGAATTTAATGAGAGCTTTTCTGTTGTAAAATTTATTCCAGATGCTGAACCCTGGGGTATCATGACATATTAAATTGCAATAAATTCCCTAATCAAACTAGTAAACATGTACAAAGTTGTATTTACAAGCATATACGTGTCTAAGTCACTTTTGCTAAAGTAGAGTTCAACAGCTTTGAAATAAATCACTAAAAATATACACCTGATATCTATTTTGACCTCAAAATATTTCTGTTTATCTCAAAAATCTGCATTTTGCAGATTTTGAGGGTTTTGCTCTAGATCAGAAGTTTCCAAATTTGCCTCTTGCTGCTGTTTCCAGTTCCAGCTTCTGTGCTTGGCTGCACCAATTTTACCTGCTAAGGCAGAGCAGATGAAGCGTTAGAAGTTCCACATCCAAGAATGACCCAAACATTTCTACACGGGGCGTCGCTGCAGGTCCCGAGCGATGGCCTCCCCTGCCCTGCTGCCATCCTGGCCCTTCTGCTCCCCTTTTCCCAAGGTTGCTAATATAGGGAAAACCTTGCCGGGGGGGCCACGACCTCGGCGTTCCCAGAGCTGCTCAGAAGTCGGTCCCTGAGCAGCGCCCCAGCTCCCCTCCGCCGGCGGGCCGGGCAGGCACCTGCCTGCGCCTGCTTCTCCTCTCTGCGGCCCAGGGCAGCAGAGCGCTGCTCATCTGGCAGCAGGGCAAAGCCCCTTCAGCGCGATACAAACGCCAAGGCGATTCCACCACCAGCACTGAAGGATGCTCCCAACAGCTCAGCTGCAGGATTAAAAAACAACAAAAAAACAACAATTGAATTCCAATACCGTCTCCCCTGCTATGTAACTGCTCTCTCAGCATCTTCACCCCCGATGAAAGCCCCGTGCGAGGGTTTCCAGGAGGCCGCGGGCCGGCGCGGGGCGCTGCCTCCACCTCCCGGAGGCAGCGGGGAGCGCAGGCACCGGCGCGGGGTACCGGGGGGGTGTACTGCCAGGGGGGACCGAAGGAAAAAGCCACCAGCCTGGCTCAAGGGACGGCAGACGGCGGGGCTGCAGCCCCACGGGGCAGGGGCCAGGCTTCAGCGGGCAAGGACAAGCGTTAAACGCCCCGAAAGCCCCTACGGGCACAGCAACAGCCGAAGCTGAACTCACCATCGACACTCAGTGGGGGTTTGAGGTCGCTGTGTACCTGTATCTACCCAGTACCAACTTCTCAAGAGAGCAATGAAAGAATTGCCTTCTCTTTGTGCAGCAGCCTCTGTGCTGTGCTTCACCCCTGCTACTATAGCTGCTTTATCCTAGAATGACAGACTGGTTTGCATTGGAAGGGACCTTCAAGATCATCTAGTTCCCCCAGCCCAGGGTGCTCCCAGCCCCGTCCAACCTGGCCTTGAGCCCTTCCAGGGAGGGGGCAGCCACAGCTGCTCTGGGCACCCTGGGCCAGCGCCTCCCCCCCCGCACAGGGAAGAATTTCTTCCTTATACCTAATCTAAATCTCCCCTCTGTCAGTTTAAATCCGTTACTCCTTGTCCTATCCCCACACCCCCCTGATCCAGAGTCCCTCCCCCCCTCTCCTGTCCCCCCTTTAAGCCCTGGGAGGCCGCTCGAAGGTCTCCCCGGAGCCTTCTCTTCTCCAGGCTGAACCCCCCAACTCTCTCAGCCCGGCCTCCCAGGGGAGCTGCTCCAGCCCCCCCAGCATCTTCGTGGCCTCCTCTGGCCCCGCTCGAGCAGCTCCGTGTCCTTCTGCTGTTGGGGGCCCCCGAGCTGGCCCCAGCACTGCAGGGGGGGCTCATGAGAGCAGAGGGGGAGAATCCCCTCCCTCAACCTGTTGGACTCACCTCACCTATGAAACTACTAAATTCAGACCAAAAGAAGTGGAAGAACTACACATTACCTGTTTCTAACGCCTTGCTACATAATCAACATTCAGTTTAATCACAAAGATCTGCAAACAAGCCTTAAGGCTTGTTTAATACATCCAGCTTCCAGATTAGCAACAGGTAGTGCCTGTATGTGTGCTCCACAAATGCAGTTACAATACTCCCTCAAGAACCTTTAAAAGTAAAAGCAAATATAATCCTTTTAAATTAAGAGGAATCTAGCCATTTGCGGCTGTGAATCCCAGCCATTGCAGCAGAGACCAGGACACAAACCTGGATGCCACCAGCCACGAGAGACAGAAAAGTACCTGTTGAGTAATAAAGTGATTTGCACTATTAGTCAGTATTAGGGAATTAAACATTTTGTTTAGTCACTGAGGACTTTATATGGTGAAATACCTCTGGCAAAAGATTTGTCTTATGAGTCTTTCAAGATGCATACAAGAAGCTCTGGTCTTTTTCCTTAAAAGAAATTTCCCAGAAGTTATGGGGGGAAATTATTAGATAAAAAAAATAAAATAAATACAATTAAATCCATATTTTGGCAGGATGCCTATGACAGCAGGCACCTGCTACTCCTTCCTGCTACATGCCAGTGCTTGGGCAAAGATGTGTTTGAAGTGGAGGGTGGCACAGCAGCAGCACACCTGCTTCCCCACTGCAGCCCTGCTAGAAGGGGAAGGTGTCCAATTCAATAGCAAATCTTAACTTCCACTTTAGAGAGACAAGTAGCAGTCTGGAAAGGGAGCTCTTAATTCAGGATTTTTGCTAAGACTGGTGTACTGCTTAACCATAGCCTCAATCCTTACCTTCTGCTCTCCTTCCCCGAGGTCTGTCACTGACCAGGTTGTGCTTAAGGAGGAGCAGCACACTCCGGCCTCCTCAACGTCCCCGGTCCTCTGTGGCCAGCATGGCAATACACGGTGCTGTTGGTGATGTGGACTTGATCTGGTGACTACCTCTGGAAAGTTACTCAGCTGAAAGTATATTTTAATTAACTTTGAGAGCCTTTTCTTCACCTTAACAGTTTTTAACCCATAAAAGCACAAAAGACAGACATGGGTAGGTGGCTATTAGAGCCATAAAACTTCATAAATGAATCATGGGGAAGGAAAACAGCTGCTGAGAATCAACATTTGCAGGTTGCAACTGATTAACACAGCCTGTAGTCTCCTTACTGACACTACTTGCCCCTGTCCTTGGTTTCTGAAAACACTCACTGGCATCCGAGGAATAAGGTTGGTTGTTTTTTAATCCATGCCTTGTCTCTTCTCCCACCCTGAACATCTTCATGAAGCCTACAGGAACTCACTCTCTAGGACTCTGTGGTTTTCAGGGCTTTTTTTTTTTTTTTTACTGTTGTTTTAAAACTGATCTTTTCATCCAATTTGTTTATTCCTTCCTGCCTACCTTCAATGAAATAGAGGACATTGCTGCCATCTTGTAAACTTCTTCAGAGGTTGTCTCCTGTATGGCTTCAGTCACCCACTTCTTCCCAGCTCAAGGTATAACTGCAGTTTGCTCTCCAGCTGCAGGAGTCCCCAGGACCACCACCACCACCGCTCCGCCAAGCCCTGGCCCAACACTGCTGAGCAGGAGTAAGGAAAAGGAACCAGCTCTGTCACCAAGAGCTTGGTCTTCATTGAGCTCCTATTTTTTCTTTACTATTTCAGCTACCAATTTATTAATGAAAATATTAAAAAACACACACACACACACAAAAAAAAAAAAAAAAAAAAAAGGAAAAAATTCAACCAAATTATCTGAAGCACTTGATCCTCCCCAAATTGTCTGCAGGTGAAGTGAGCCCCCTCCTTCAGCAAAGGCTGCCCCTGGGCCAGGTGACTCCACCACAGGACAGGCCAGAATGCTTGTAAAAAGTGCCTCGTGAGCAAACATCACCCAGGAGATGAACTTCAGGCAACTGTGGAAAAAAACCCTTTCTGCGCTTTGGACTGATGGGGCAACTGAAAAATAAGATATCTGTAACCCATATTGAATATAAACAGCAACACTAGTTAACAAATACTTTACCAGTATTTTAAACCCAGATTTTGCAATCTAACATCAATGTTTTCATATCGAAATCTCATATTCTCATTCTATGATGGGGATTATCAGCAGCATACTGAACTGTTCCATCACCTAATAGCAAGGACAGCAACAACATTTGGCTTTGTAGTAACAGTTCACACACAGGACAAGAGTTCAATAATCTGCAGCTTAAATCCAAAGACCAAGTGGTGGCAGGAGGCAGAGCCCTCTTCTAACGGCTTCTGAGACCTCCCACAGCAAATGGTGATGCCCATCCTTAACTCGGGGCAGGTCCGCTGGTCACCATTTTAAATGTGATTACTCTCATTCAAAATGTAAGTACCTTTATTTTCAAAGGACCAGACCTTTGCAGGAAAACTATTTCTTCTTGATCTATAAAGTCAAAACTGAATAGATACCTGGAAAACATATAGAAGGTAGATCATCCCACCCTAAAGTAATACATCAATCCTATCAGTGAATGTATGTTTTATTGAAAGTGTGGCATGAAACACTTGACTGTGAGTATAAATTTATAAACAGCTCTTGATGTATGTGAGATTTTTGGCAAGGTTTACCAAATAATGCAATTCACAGTACATTTAATTTAGGAATGTTCGCTCATTGTTTTTTATATCTTTTTTTTTTTTTTTTTTAAAAAAAAAGGAGTTGGAGAACTTCCAAATTATAAATGATGGATTTTTGTCAATTATAAAATATTATGAATTTGCAACCTTTTTATTCTAGTACTCAAGGAACTGCCAGCTATTTAAAACTGTACCATTATCATTATTCACAAAGTTTAACAAAAATAAATACAATTTTGAGGTTGTCTTTGGCATGTCGTAATTCAAGGCAATAGTATCTTTTAGCAGCACAGTGCAAAGAAAAACAACATACCATACAATGCACTACTAGATTCAGCCTTACAAGGAGAAGAGAACGTAGTACAATGCAAACTTTAATGTCAATATATACAGAGCTTTAAAGAAAACATTTTTTTAAAATTAAATGAAATAAATACAATATGATACAAAATCCACAATATGCTTAGAGAAAGAAATGACAGTTACAATATCTGATAATGGGGACCTTTTGTAGTTTCATCTTTGAAGTACCTCAGAGAGCATGTAATTCATTGCACACTGTTTTCAATTAATGCCCTTTTGTATACTGAGATTTATAGCCAGTCACGTGCCAGAAGAGTTTTAGCTCTAATCAGAGTATCAGTGCAAGATGCCAAAGTGCTTGGGGTATTATGACAATGCAATTAGCAAACGCTGCTTGTAAGCCTAATGCAAAACACATAAAATAGGAACACTTTGTCCTGCAAAGGAGATCCATCTCCTGTCTTTTCAGTTCTCACATGAAAAAAAAACACCTCAAAACAGGATTCAATGTTATTTAAACTCACTATTGGTAATAAGCTATTTTCCAAATCTTAATTATTAAGAGACATAATCAGTTAAATATCTTTTAAAGCTTTCAAAAAAGTTTGCTTTCATTACATGGGAAAAATCTCAAGACGACCAGTCACTGATTAGTTTGGGGGGAACTTCTAATTACATAAATTATTGCAATACAAGTCAGCTATAGCTATACAGTAAGGATTTTTTTTTTTTTTAATTGTATTCATTCTTTTATTCCCAAAGAAAAATGTAGGCTTAACAATAACGTAATTTGGGGGAGTAAACATTTTGAAAATATACTGAAGTAAGGACAAACCGTATTCGGACTGTACTTAACTAAAGGGGTGTTTATGCAGAAGGATGGTACAGCATGAATGACAGCACAGGCATGTTACCAACAGGTATCAATACATATCCAAGAAAGTTTCTGAATGAACTTTCAAGGAAATTTTATTTTTTAAATCATATCGAGCTCCTATAGGATTACATAAGGGCTCTAATCACAGCTTCAGAAGCCTTTTGAAAACTCTGAGAAAGAAAAACCCGCTTCTCCCTTCCCTCCCACAGATATCTGCAAACTTCTAACTCTGGATAGGACTGAAAAATTTAAGTGCTACAGAAGTACATAAAACCTCATGTTTGCATTGATGTTTTAACCTAATTTAATTGATACAAATCAGGATAGTAATTGAATTACACAGTAATATAGTAAACTCCATTTTTACAAGCTATCTCAACTTTTTAATTGTAACATTTGAGGGCAGTGCCGACTACTGGATGCAGCAATCTATCGCTGCAGATGACCAGTTTTTAAGTATACTGCAAGTAACTTCCAATTGTTGAAGTTTTCTATAGGCAATTTTAACTATTGGACATATGAAGATTAGCTTTGGAAAATTAAATAAAATAGGGAAGACTGAATTCAAGCTCCATATGACTGACTTGGGTTAGGTTTTGGATGCCTCCTCTGGATGCAAGGAGAACATTTAAACCATACCACAACATAGGCCTCAAACACAGTATGCTTAAAGACCACCTCCACCTTAGGCTCTTTGCGTGGTCAAAGAGATTTTACTAGTTTTAAGCATAATGGTAAAAACACACAACATGCTAACAACAGCACTGAGACTACACAAGCCCCCAAATAGTGGCTTAAATGAATCCACCCCTGTAACTCTCTTGGTATGAGCACTCCTCGTTATGCAACACTGGCCAATATTGATGCCACTGCATAGTTTTTGGATAGATGGCAGGAATACAACAGAGTTCCTCATTTCTTTATCGAAACGAAAACTGAAGATAGAAAATGTGATACCCGAGGGGTGAAAGAACAGTGAAGCACATAATGAACCTGCTCCAGCTATAGCTGATGTCTGTGGGCATCTACACTTTTCAGTAAGAATGTATCAGGCTCTACACGCACTTGAGAACCAGCACTTATTTATAATTGCCATTACCAAACATCAGAGTAGAAGCTATTTTGCTGGCATTATCAGAAGCCATATCCAAAATATTGTATCATGTAAGATATTAATTAGTTCTCTGGAATTCCACTAAATATACAGTATGTGTGCCTGTTTCTTTGTAATTGTAAGCCTTTGTAAAAAATTCACTTTTTTACAAAGTAAATCAGTAAAATAGTAAGATTGTAACTAGTTTCTAATCTTGAACTGTGCAGAGATGATACGACAGTGAAACAATGTATACTGACCTGTCACTCCAGCCAAGAGCAGGTTCAAATTAAATGTTCTTCCATTTCAAACATTTAACTCATTACTCATGAGCAGACCATGCTACTTTTATACAATTGCTTAATTGAACAAAATCTAAGTCTGGAAAACAACAACAACAACAAAAAAAGAAGTCTGCGAGAAATTCCAAAAGAAGTATCACAAAAATGATGATCATCAAATACTAGATAGTAAGAGTAAACTGCAAGTGAACTCTTTTGTATCCCTGCATATCCAACATGTTTCCAAGACTGATACACTGAAATATACATAGCAAGTGAATTTCCCCCCCAAATTAAGGATTAAAATTGGCATACCATGGTACACTGGCCTGTCAGATTAACAAAGGTGTTCATCCATGTATCTTCCTTGTGGTAAGACAACTTTGTAACGCAGTCAGTGAAACTTGGTTTTTACCCCAAGAATATCACTTGCACTAAAGGCTAGTAATGATATAAAACCAGCAGGGATAATTTAAAAGATCTTCTATAAAGTTATTTGCTAAAAATGAGAATATCCACCTTGTTTGTGTACTTTTCCTCTCACCACCTTTGTGTTGCACACCAAGAAGAACTTAAGTACCTTCAGCTGCTTACAACTGCTTTTGTGCAAAATGCTTTTAAGGTGCTTATAACGTGGTGCTTCTAAGCAAGCTGAAACAAAATACCAGTATAAACACTGCTAAATGATTCATGAATAAAGCCATTAAAGACCAGCTGCTGCCTTATGGGAAAGCTGAAGACAATTCAAGTTTGACATTTTAGTTGTGTTCCACGCCTTGCATTACCCTCTATCCCCGACACAGCTTTTACTACTACATTTCAACTCACATTATACCTTGACCTTGGCTAAGGAGGCTTTATTTCTACCACTTCTGGTTTGTTTGTTTAGAGTGAATTCAAGTTCTTCTGGCAATCATTAGTAAATTTACAAAAAAATTATACTGATGAATTGTAGACAACAGGTTTACAGGCATTCTTGCTGGCAAAGTTCTTCAGTATCAAAACGAAGGATGAACCAGCTGCATAAGGGGCAGATTTTGTACTAAACTATAAGCTTTCCTTGAAGCAGTTGTGTTCTTTGATAAGCTTTCAAGCATTTCAAACAGGCACCTCAAAACTAGGCACAAATGGCCCCTAAAGCTTCCAACATCTATCAAACACTCAATAAATTTAGTATGGGGTATGTTCTGCATGATACAAATAGCACACCTATGTTTGCTATATTCATTAGGTCTCAAATCTACATATATTCATACCTAACTATTTGGCCAGATAATTTCCATCTTCCCCCACCACAACAAAAGAAAGCAGCTTATCTAACAGTACTTCCAATGCCAACAAGTACTTCCACAGGTATAGGCAAAAACCAGCCAGCACCCTCTGCCTTTTAAGATCTGAGTTACTACTGACACTCTTGGTGGTTGGGCCAGAATTATCCTGAAAGCTTTTTCTCCTGTCTCAAAATGACAAGTTCTATCATCACTGGTGTCTTGTACTTGGCTACCAAAGGTATGTGGAGAAGGAAATTCAGTGATAGCAAATCAGTCTGAACTACATTTGATTTTTGGATACTTGGATTCTCTAACTGTTCACAGTCTAACTGTTGGTCACTAATATACTCAATATTTAAAATGGATATCATCATACTATGATAGCACAACTGCACAGTAGTGTCTACAACTTTTAAAAACACTTTTAAGCTCATCATCTCCAAATGCATTAGTTCTCAGTCTATTAGTGGTTAGCACTGGTTTTGAGCCAGAAAATCCAAAGATAGTTCTGGCCCTGCAATTAATTTCCGCTCTATCACAGCATTTAGAAACAGCTGAAGTCCTAACACCAAGACAGACAGGGCAAGTGAGTGCTGGCAACAGGACACTGTCAGTAATTTGTCGATAACTGTGAAAATTCTTGGTCAGAATTCCCTTATCTGTGCACACTGCAAGGCTTATTTATTTTCCCAAACTATCCCTACAGTTAGGCAAAGAGAATTTTGCATTTATGTTCTGTAATATTTGTACATGCGGCGAGAGATTCAGATAGAAGCAACGTTCTATAGAAATCAAATAAATAAAAAACAAAACCCACATGCCAAGTTTGTTATAATAAAGTGTCAGTTTGTCTCATATGCCAAGCAAACTTAATATTGGGTATATTCAGTGGAAGTGACTGCTGAGGAAACAGTAACATAGTTATTGCACTAATGGATAAACAGTATAAGTAACGAAAAGTATTGGATGGCATGATGTTGTCTTAAAGTGGTACCAATGTTATTGAGATCCTTAATTTTGACAGTTTTATACACATACTTTCTTGAGCTCAGTGCAGGACAATACCATTCATGGTAACAACTAGAAACGTTCATTTTCCTGTAAGAGGCCATTTGTTAACTAGCATTTCTTTTGGGCTACAAGCGAGCAAGTTAATGTTATGGGTAAAGTGCAGAAACTTACACATCCCTTTTGTTTGTATTTTCACATAAACTTATCCGTTACTGGCACCATACGAACACAGACCTTCCAAATTAACACTAATGCATTTAACACTGGCACAATATATTAGTCAGCTTTTCATAATATTAATGAACAAGTTAAATGAATTAATTTGAATGAATTAAGTGCCCAATTGCAAAATTAAGAATTTATCTTTCACAACAGGGTCTAAAAGTATGAAGAAAAGAAAACTTACACTGACACTTTATGTACAACTTGGTCATTGGCAACGGTCCCCTAAACCATTTTTTAAATGAACCCAGCAAAACTATACAGAATGTGAAATAATATTTGCAACAGATCTCTTAAAGACAGTGTAGAGAAATTCATTATGGTGTACCTGATGTTTAAATTAATTTAACAGATACGGCTTGTAAAACAACACAGTATGAACCTGTGGATTTTTTTTTTTCTTTTTAAAAAAAGGACTTTTACAGAATTCAAGTAGTGTAGCAGGAAACCATAGATGCCTTTTCATCACAGGTCAGGCAACATAGAGCCACGTATTGGATTTTCCCCTTGCTTCTGTTTGCTAAGGTGTCCCAGTGGATCTATAAGTCTGTTGATGTTAGCTTTTTCATGCTCCGTCGCTGAGCTAAACTTGAGGCTGCAACAGGCTCTAACACTGGCTGAAATGTCTTGTGATTCAGTGCAGAATACGTAGCAGCCATGGCTCCCTAGAGAACAATGAAACATATAAAAGGGTGTACAGGTCATTTTTATCAGAAAATAAAGCAATTGAGTATTAAATTTTTCACTAACTCTACTAAAAAAATCCAGGACTTATGGCAGGACATTCTCTAAAGTTAGTTTTGGAAAAAACATTTACTGCTGAATCCTTCAGGTTTCTAAGCACAGGTGACTGACGACTACTTTCCTGCATATTTTTCTCACATTCCTCAGATGTAGGAATAACCTTTTAATGTGGGTCAGAATTAATATCTCCCAAGTAAGATTAGCATTAATTTATCAAATACAGCCACTTCAGAGGCTATTCAGGTCCTGACTTATGAAAGACAACACAATTAAGACTGGCTATCACAGGTCCTTGTTTGTGAATCCAACAAAACTAATGAAGTCAACCTAAAAGCCGCCTGCATACAGTAGAATGTTTGTGTGTCACAAGTCATAAACACAGATACAGAACAAACTGATAAAGCACCGGTGGAAAAACTGTAGTGCAGTTTAATAATTTATGTTAGGAAAGCACAGTATGAGCTAGAAACAAATCCCAAAATGTTTCTTGAACAACAATGCTAGGAGACCTGTGGCAGTCTCAATCTCATAACTTTTTTATCAGGTTTCTATATGGCCAAAGCTACCTTAATCTTTGAAAACAAAACAACCAGAAAAATCTCTTCTTTTACACATAGGTTAAAAAACAATTATAAATAATTTGTCTGCTTATGTAACTTAAATACGCACATACTTAGGAAAACAAAAAAAACTAATTTATTTTCTAAAGAAAAAAATCAGTTCTGCTTGTAGCTCAAAGCAACTCAATTCATTGCACATCCACCAGCTCAAGCAACATTCAGCCTTCAGGTTCTTTTACCTTTACTAGATGTGGTGCATCTTGCCTGTTTAGTTGATAATGCGGCAACTGGTCCCTACAGGCTATCCACGAATGTTTTAATACTTGTTCTGCTGTATACCGCTGATGTGGATCTACATGAAGCATGTGTGATAACAAGTCCTAGATAAAAAGGAAAACCACACATATTATTCAGTTGAAATAATCTTATGCAGACTTTAAGGCATTAATTATGGCAGCAATGAAAAAAGTACCCTATGTGGCAGGGATTAACACAATGCAAACACACACAACACAAATCAGCAGATAAATTGGATCATTCTGTGCCCTGACACCACAGAAGTCTGAAAACAATGTGTTGTACTATTTAATCAGTTTAACAGAGCAAGTCTTTATTGTAAATAAACTTACTGTTGTTTGTGTTTCATATTTCAGTTTGTTTATTAATATAATATTTACAAGACTAGAAATCCTATTAAAATTTAGCAGATAGGTTTCATGGAAGAGATACTATTTGCAAACATATCTCTTCATTTGTACTACATATTTAGGATCCACTGACTACATATTACAATTGAACTCATATATAGTGATATACTATATCAAAGAATTTTTCCTTCAAGGAGTTAGGTAAGGAATAAAGCCAACAGAAATGGACATTTGTTTTTGCCTGTTTAGAAGCATTAGCAAAATGCTGCTAATTACAACATCGGTCAAAATAAGAGCTGGGTAGGCAGGGCAGAGAACAGAGACAGGAATAGCTTCAAAGAAAACAAAATATGAACAAGCTGACACAATGTTCCCTTTGTTTTAGGTACAAAATGTTAAGCATTCTTAAATATACAGAATTGAATTACTTGTGCTAAGACAGCATCAGCCAACAAGTATTCTGAATCACTCCTACCAAAATGAACAAATAGTGCAGTTCCAAAAGATCAGGACAAGATTTAATATTAATGCCAAGCTTTATAAAAGGTAACAGTGGTGACTAAGATACCTACAGACCAGGCCAACACCAAACCCAGAGAACACATACAGCAACCGATGAGAGATGCAGTCTTTAAATAAAAAACAACAGCTGCATAATGGAGCTGATCAAGATTTTTGGCAAAGTATCTGGATATATTTGATTGTCAAAGTACTAGTTCAATTGCTGAAAGTACTAACAAAGACAAAAGACCTGATGACTTCAGTGTTGAACATTTAAAAATTGCACAACAAAAAAATTAACCTATTAATGCAAGACTAGTTAGCTGCTAGAACTAACCGATAATTGTAAAAAATCATCCTTCCATTTAAGGAATCCCACAAACACCTGATTTTGATCCAATAAAAAACCCAGACTGGTGATTAGAAAAGCCTATTTTGGGACCTATCTTATTTAAAATATTTATCAGTGACTCCAGGGAAGGAAGAGGGGGCACTCTTGACAAGTTTCCAGTGGGGCACCAAGCTGGAGGTGTGGGGTAAGAGCTAATGAGTTCAGAGGCTGGGCAGCCACTCAAAGGGACCTAGGCAGGATGGAGTAACAAGCTAACCAGAGCCATATAAAATTCAGCAAGGACAAATGCAAAGTCCTGCGCTTGGAAAGGAAGAAATTATCACGAAGGTACAGGGTGGGGATTGACTGGCTGGGGACCAGCTTTGTAGAGGACCACCAGGAGGTTTTGGTAGATTGAACATGAACTACCAATGTGACCTGGCATCCAAAAAGGCTGACATTCCTTTAGTCAGCATGGCCAAAGGAATGGAAACAGAGGACAAAGTAAAACAAGAAATGTTCTGGCTTGAAATCAGAAGCTTTTTCCTCATTACAGCAGCCAAGCATTGGAAAAGGCTGCCCAGGCAAGCTGTTCAGTCTCCACCCTCGGAAGCTTCTAAAGACAGACTGAATACAGACCTGAGCTACCTGGTCAGAACTCACAGCTGACCTTGCTTTGAGCAGAAGGTTAGACTAGATGACCTTCATTGCAGTAAAGTTTGCAGGTAATAATAGTAATCTAATGTGATAGACTAGACTATTTTATAAAGTTCATTAGATGTTCATTTGAAATCTACAAAAATATAAGGACAAAACAAAACACATTTACACCTTTGCTGCATCTGAAACGGTGTCCCAGTTGCCTCCACTTAAAGAGAATTTTCCACTGCCTATCCGTACCAGGATCTCCTCTGGAGTATCGTTAGGACCGTTGGCAAATGGAGTATAGCTGTTGAAAGAAAAAAAAAAAAACAGATAAACAAACAAAACACTTTGTAGGGCAAGAAGCTGCAATAAATTGGTAAAATATCATAAATCATTCTGAGTAGATATCCCACGACTGGCAGAAACACACTATATACTATTAAATACTTTTTATATTAATATTTCATCTTTGAAACGATATTATTTTATTTTCCCCATTGTTGTGGTTAATTAAGTAGAATAAATGGAAAATGCAGACTAAAAAGATGTCTTAAATTAATAGCTTAATGCATTCTAATCAGTGTCGACTTTCAACTTAAATAGAAGTGATTTGTAAACACAAATTCTGCTAGAATACCAGTTTATGTAAAGTAATCCAAACCTGGAACAGTACTCTAACAGAATGGCCCAATAAAACTAGAGTAATATTGTGCTTAGGGTATGTGCATTTAATTAGACAGAGAATGAGCACAATGTACACTCATCTATCATTTGGGGAAAAGCTACAAGAAAATGTTCACGACAGTTTTTTTACTTAAGTGAGTTTGGAAGGCTTAAACCACAAGACCATTAGTTCTGGAGGCATGAAACAGTTTACAGGGTTTCCTGTAAGTCTGGCTTACTTTCTACAAATTCTACTGTGACAAACTCAAAAGAACTGAATTAGCAGATCTGAAAAGCAACCTAAGTCACAGAAATACACCTTTTAAGAATGTCAAGAGTATTATGTTGTTCTGGCATCTCCTCTGATCACAGGCTAGTACCAAGTCAGTTTTAACTATACACCCCAAATCTTACTCTGATTAAGTAGTTACAGCTTGATGACCCTTAGATTTCAAATTAGCTTGCAAACAATAATAATTAAACTTAATGCATTCTATCTTAGTACTTTGAAAGCTCTGCATAAAAGTAAGATCAATCAGCATCATCAACAGAGGTTTAGGAACTATCCCAGCCAGTTAGTTCTAGTCTTTTGGTTGAGGAGCTTAAGAGGAACAAAATGGAAATACAGTAATTCACATTGGACCATTCCTCCCCCACACTTTTGTCCTGCCATACCTTTTGTTCAGACAATGTTTCCCAAGTGTGCAATCAGTATACTGCCCAATATCTGCATACTTGCACTTAAATCATACAGCAACCTGAGTTTTGACGGCAGAACTGTAGTGGTGATCTTACATGAAAAAGTACAAAATTATCAAAGATAAACATTGCTCCATACTGCTTAGGAAAATTTAGAAGTTTAGAAAACTTAAAAGGTTACAAAGCCAGTGTGTTCTACATAAGGGACAGGAGTCAAGCCTGTGGCAGGAGATACAAGAAGGTGGACTACAAGGGTAACAGGGTGGGGAGGACAAGAGGCAGAAGAAGAAAGAAGAAAACCACCACATACTTTAACAGACTAAATTTTCTTCTGGAAACTGGGGAGTCTTTGGCATCCCCCAGCAGTCATCTACTATAGAAGACAGAAGTCTTGAACCTAACCTGTAAGATAAGCCTAGCTGATGTATGCATTTACTTACAGCTTTCTGCTCCACTTGAGTGTCTTAGTCATTCTGCAGTCAAATCAATTCGGTAATTTCTTACTATTTTAATGAAAGCATGGATTAATGCAGCATGCTAGAACAAAAAAGCTAAGAAATATTTCTCACCCTGCCAACATTGTGTAAAGAAGAACACCCAAGCTCCATATGTCACAAGCAGCATCATATCCCTGTCTCATGAGAACCTATAAAACAGAGTGTTAAAAGACTTTTCATATCTGAAAAAAAACCCCACCCCAATCCAATACCACTACGCAGCCTAAGGAGGGCTAAGTCAATCCCAGGAAAACTTCAGAGGTTTAATTATTTATTTTTCAATATACAAGTTACAGTAACTAACAACATTTCTTGTTCCCAGAACATCACCTGTGAAAATCCTTAATAAGCGGAATCCACCCTCAAAAATAAGATGTAAGCCATTTTAAAGAATTAAACTTAAGGAAAACTAGCAGAATTGTTTTGTTTGGGCGTTTGTTTTTTTTTGTTTGTTTTTGTTTTGTTGGGGTTTTTTTTGTTGGTGTTTTTTTTTTTTTTTTTTTTTTAAGCACTGTTAAAAAGTTTAAGTACTTGATGCATCAAAAACAGCACAGAAAAAAAACACATGGCAGCTTAAGATACCTCTGGTGCCACAAAGTTTGCAGTGTAGCATGGAGTTAGAAGTAGTCCATTTTCTCCTCGAAGTTGTTTTGCAAATCCAAAATCACAAATCCTGATAGAATCAGCATTATTTGAATCATCCGTATATAAAATATTACTAGGTTTAAGGTCTCGATGCACTACCTTCAAACAAAGAAATTTTGAGATCTATCATTTAGAAGTTGCATGTACAGTTGTTTGTATATAATTTGCAATTTTAAAAACTCTTATCTAGATTAATATATTTATCAACAGTTCCACATAATTATATAACTTTTAAGTAACAAAAAATTCTAGTTCAATGTCAAAATGCCTACTAGCTTGTAATGCAACTGGAACTAACATAACCATTTGCCAGCAAGCATGAGAAAAGCTACTTCATAAACTGGAAAAGTAGAGTCAAAAGGGCTTGCCAGAATAACAGGAGTACTTGTTTATATCGCTCACCTTTGTCATAAAATACTTAGAAATCTTCCCTTCTGCCATAAAAACAAGGCAACCAAAGCACATAAAAGACATTTATTAATTCTAAGAAATGTGAAAGAAGCCATGTCAGAAGAAAACCACTCACTCCTTGGCAGTGCAGGTAGTCCACAGTCTTAGTTATAGTGTATAATACAGCACTAGCCTCTCGCTCCGAGAAGAACTTCTGTCTGAGAATTCGATCAAGCAGCTCTCCTCCTTTCATCAGTTCAGTGACAAGATATATAAATCTACCATCATCATATACCTGATGAGAAGTTTAACGTGTATATGTATATAAATGCACACATATATTAAAAAGATCATCTATAATTATACATCCTGATAAATGTGAATATTACAGACTAGATTGTTTACCTGTTCACATATGAACATAAAGCACAAACAGCAGTGACTGAAAAATTTAATTCTGCAATTCAGAAGCCTTAAAGCACAAAGCACAAGAAAGCTTACGTGCCATTCTGTGAGACACTGAAGTAATTGATTGTTAACTAATAACTTGAAATGAAATTTTTCAGTCTAGGAACGTCAATTGTATGAGGAGAGTAGCCCTATCACTCTCTATTGCTCTTCCCCTCCACAGACAATTTTTCACTGCTGGCACTTTGCATACGCAGGACAACCTACAACTGTTTTTTCAGATTCGCATTACCAACACATTAGCTACTCATCTGAAGTAAGAGGAAATACAACATTTCTAACCTTTACATTATTTTTCACTTCAAGTTCACTAAAAGGCATTTAGAAAAAAATATTATCAGGACAATGTCATATATGAAAATATTCAACACTCTGCTATATGTACTGCTCTCCTAAAATATTTTACTATATAAAAGTAATTTCATAAGTCCCAATAACCTCCCTACATCTGTATTTGAATACTGTGTAAAAAGAAGTAACAGAAAAAAGGAGGTACATACATCCTTTAAAGTAATAATATTTGGATGTTGTCCATAACGCATGAGAATCTCAATTTCTTCTGAGGGATCCCTCTTACTTTTATCAATTATCTGAAAAATATAACAACAGGAAAAACAATGTTTGGCTAAACAAAGTCTATTTACTAAAGAAATTCTTTTGTATTTATATTCTCACTTCAACAACAGAATAGAAAAATTTCTTGAGTTCATTACTTTATACTCATCATGACTAATTCATCTTCCAACTTCACATCCCACTGTTTATTCATTTCTTGCTCTCTCCTTGCTACCAGTTAAAACTGTACCGTTAAGGCAGTCTATTCTGCTACAAAGGACAAAGAAGTGCAATGGACTGTCTGAAACATCACTACTTCCCTGCAGCCCAGTTCCATGCTTGTGGATCTTATTTTATTTCACATGTGCTCATCATTGTACAGTATTTTCAGGCTTCAAGACAGTAACTGCAAAGCCAGTTCTTCTGGGCCATAACCTTACCCAGAAAAAAAAAAACTTATAGAAGTCAATATGCAATTTAAATGAAGAAAACACTGGTTTTCATTTCTCAGAGCATATAAAAAGCTACAGTAACTTGTAAATTTAAATGCATACATTTTCTAATCTACTACACAGTAATTTCAGAACTGTCACAGTGAAATTTACTCAACATACCTTTACAGCAAACTCCATATTTGTAGCTATGTGTATACATCGCTTACAAACAGAGTAGGAACCAACACCAATATCTTCCTTCAGTTCGTACACATCAGTAAACTGCGCGCTGTTTCCATGAAGCTGCTTTAAAAAACAAACACGTACAATTTGTCACCTAAAGCAACAAGATGCTCTTTGCCATAATATCATTTCCAACAGCAAAAGTTTCTTCTGCTTGCCCATGTTTACTCTTTTGAATTCTGCCTTCAGAAAAACAGCAACTTGTTTTTTAAAAAAGTCCCATGGAAGCATTTTAATCATGCACATTTTATGATAGTCTCCCCAGACAAAACAGAACAGCCCGTAAACACTAAATATAGGTCAATCTTTGGCATGTCAAAAAAGTTTCCCAAAAAATAAAGTGTTACCTGTACTATTGGCAGTATATTGGTGAGTGGTGATATTTTATGATCTTCTACAGTAGTAGTTGCAACAAAACTAAATCCTTTGAAGAGCTGATGTGCATTCGCACTAGGTGGGACTCCTGGAGAATCTAGTGGCATACACAGTTGATTAGGATGGCTAAATCCCAGCAAGGCTATATTTTAACATTCAGGAGAGATATGTTGGAAGAAACATTTTGAGGGAAGGGAAGCAAACAAGGGCAACACTAGATGTTGAATAAGACTTCTAGTCAGTTATCCCCTCTTATTCCAGTAACACACACAAAGCAAGTATTCCTGGGCTTTATCTAAAACTACAAAACACTACAGGAACTAATGTATGAATATATGTTTTTAGGAGGAAGTTTACTGAAGCACAACAGTACTTATGAGAAAGAAATAAAGATCATAGCCTTATGTTCAAGGACTGCATCACAAAGAAGAGCGCTCACAGATTTTGCTCAGTTGTTTCTGTGCTGCTGGCAAGGCAGAAGTGAGGCAATACAAGAATAATAAATTAGTAATACTACTGAATAATTTGAACCAAATTTTCCTTAGGTTACGTGCACCTCTGAATTCATTGTTTGAAATTTCACAGTAAGCACAGCTTGATGATTTTGTGTAGCCTATTAGAACCACAGACATTCTCCAAATAAACATAGGTGGCTTTAAAAGTTGGATGCACCAGTAAAGAAAAACATCATCCACAAAAGAAAACCTCACGTGAAACTTGAAGCATACTAAGCAATATATGCTTGCAATTACTGTCTTTGTTTCAAAGTTCAGCTACTTGGAAATTTTCAAAGTGCAATAATCTAAGGAGTATTTTAAAGATAAATTTTCACAAGCTTCTTGAAACTATTTGAGATGTCTTTGCAACTGATCTAGTAGTACAGGTACCCAGTCTACTGTTCATTGTTCCCACCCTTCTCTACCTTGGAATCACCGTTTCTTCAAGAGTAAAGTCAAACCCATCATGGGTAGTGAGAGAAACAGCTCAATGAATAAAAATATTGTAATGCTAGTTTTAAGATTTAATTTTAATAATGATTATAATGAATAGGGTTAAGAAAGTAACTTCAAGCAGGTAATTTTCAGTGGAATATTGGACCTAAAAATAATCACTGATGGAATCAAATTTAGTTTACTTTTAGCATTAAACACTTCTCTCCCAAACACTGCATGTCTGACTAAACCATAACTAGAAACCATAATTCAGCTGTTAATATTCCTTTTTTTTTGGTTGGTGAACCAAAGTTGAGCACAGTATTTCAAAGAACAGGAACCCACTGAGAAGAACATACTACTACAAAGTACTGGTACCCTATTGCACCCTTCCCTTTTAATTTTGTCACTGGCTTTTTCTCTTGGTAAGCTGCTTGTTGTAACATTAATTTGACCCCTCTTGTCCCATGAACCACACCAATTTATAACCATGCAAAATTACCTTTTGGTGTTTTTGCTGTGAATTCTGGATCAAAACAAAAGGTATCTTCTGGCTTTCCAGAGGCAGGCTTAAAAGGGGGTTGAATTTCTCTTCTGAACAGTTTCTGAAGTAGAAGGACAAAGTCATATCATTAAGAGTGAATTAAACTTCCACGGATGCTGTCGATTTTGCTAAGCTATAGGGAAAGCAAGTCAAGTGTTACTGTATTAAAATGGTTTTCTGAAAGTGTGAATAACATATAGCAAGTAGAAAACCACAAATATATACAGAAAGATTGAGTTACTTTCATGTACCTTTGATTTGAAATGCTACAGGAAATGTTACCAGACAAATCAAATAGTACACAGCTCTCTTTCCTCATTCTTCCAAATCTGCCTCATCTACTACATCTGTACTTTTAAAAATACAACAGCAGGCTGCTACTTATCACTCGTTCATCTTTGGCTTATTCAGAAGAACATGGAACAACCATAGGGCATCTTACCTTCTATCATTGTCTCGGACCTGGTTCACTGCTATTTTGTCACCACCCTGAAAATCTCACCCCAAATGGAAGACACAGAATAGTCTTCACCCTTCTATTCTGGGTTGCAAACACCTCTCGCAACTGACAGGCGTGTCCCTCTTGGCAAGGAGCTGCCCAATTCTCAAAGCTCTAATTCTAGGTTTTTCCTAATCTACTAAACTAAGAGAAGGAAAAGGAAGGGCTCCTTTTTTTCTCCTTTACTCAACTTGCTTTTGAAAAATGCATTGCCCAAGTGATCTCAAATCAGCAGTAAGTCCCATTTACAGTTAAGGAAGAGAAAATTTCATGTCAAATGACATTGAAGCCCCATGCAAAGTTCAGGAAGTTCTGAGAATATTTTCTTGGCATTTCTCTCATCCTTTCAGACCTACTTTTTGCAGTTCTTTTCATTTAATTTTCCTGCACAAGAACATGCAATGTATTTGAATTTTAAAAAACAAACAAACAAAAAAAAAAACCACACACAAAAAAAAGAAAGAAGGACCTGAATTCACTCCATAGAAATAATGAGCTACAATTCAGAAGTGGTCATCAACACCATCATACTGAAATAAATACAAAGCATTGTCAAATGAAAAAAAAAGTTAGAAAAAAAGAAGATAAAAAAATAAAGAGTTAGAATGCAGATCTTCCAAACTTCCTTGCTGGTATTTATTTCAACATCAGTCCCTTACAAGAAAAAAAACAAAACTAAAAACCAAAAGATAATCAAGCTACAACAACACAGATTTCTCTTACAAAGTGTCCTCATATGAAACTGTGAGGTTCTGCCGTTACTGAAAACCCTCCTTGCTAATCAGGACTCTATGGTAGAAGCTGCATAAACACAGCTAGAAAAACACCTTCTCAGAAGTAAATACAAGAGATAAAGAGAAGGATAATGACAACATGCTTTAAAGAAACAGTTGAGCACAATATTGAATAGCATTGCAGGTAGTCCTTTCAGCACAGCAACATCTTATTTATTGTGTGTATCCTTTTGTAGGCATTATAGCAAAGGAGCATTTTCGGGGTAGAATTATTTTATATACAGCATCTTAGTTTTGCTAACATTTCTGGGAAACACATCTCAAAAGCTTAGAGAACCTCAGAGGAAAATCAACAAGGTGCTGGTTAAAAATTTAAGCAAGCAATCATGAACTCATACAGACCTCTGATCATTGCAGAGCACCAGAGTCAATACTTCAACTGTGAATGGAATATTACTAATAAAATAGGAATGTGCTGTGGCTAACTAGAGAGAAGTCAAAGAATTACAATCACAGTGAATTTTTGTGCCCTGCATGGAAGCACTAGATGGACACTTACTGAAGAGAAGGATTCTTGCACACAGGGAAGACCAGCATTCTCTCCCAACTACAAATGCTCTAACAGACAACTTAAGGTTTGGAAAGCTGAAACTCAATTATTTAAAAATTAAGTGTACAATTTACAATTAATACTTTCCATACCATAAATACTACAGCTCCATATGCCAAATAAGATTACAGTAGAAGCCAGAATGCAAGACAGCAGTACTGCAATGTTTATTGTGCCCTATTCAGATGCAAATACTCATAATGCTACAACACAGAAAAAAACAGTTTTATCATTCAGATCATTTTGTACTTACGTTCCAATCAACAGTAGAAAAAAAAGGATGTCTCTTGATTTCTTCAACTCCATCTGAACCAGCTCCTGAACAAAGAAAATACTGTATTTATAAAACTGTTGGGTGAAGTCTTTGAAGAAGATTGCACTAAGAATTATGCAAAATTTTAAGAAATTAACTAGTCACAGTTATTTGAGGGAATTGAAAATACAGAAATATTTTGAGGATGTAAAATACTCAATTAAGTAGTGTACACCTCATCAGGGAAGCAAACAGAGTACAATAAGCCCATAAATAGAGAGTTTTGATATTCTTTGTTCTGACACTGTCAAAGCTTTGGCTCACTGCTTAGAGTCACTGGTCCAAGAAAGTAGTCATTCATTAGCTAAACCCAGGAAGTCATGATCCAAGCTAATATGAAATTATATCTAATCCCAAATCTTACTGACCATCTGAAGCTTGAGAGTCTCTAGCAACTACTTTTTTAAAATAACCAACTCAACTGAACTACTTTTATTTCAAATATCCAAATAAATGAACCAACCTAGTCTGTTTGATGGGTTCCTTTTAAACAACATCCTCAGAAGACTTTGTGCTTCAGGGCTGAGGAACTGAGGCATTCCAAGTTTTGCTCTAAAGGAAAACAGAGAACAGGTAAGAGGAAGAAATGTGTCTTACTAAAAATTGTCTGCATAGACTTCATTGCACAATTTGATATATCAAGGATCTATTCCAAAGTCTTGTAGAGTGTACACAGTTAAATCATCAACTTTAAGTTTCACATTCACTACTAAAGTAGAGTAAAACAATTCTCAGGAATATTTATTTTCAAAAGGTATCTTCATTTCACTAGGAAGTTATCACCAAAATACCTCTACCAGAATCACTGTCAGAAGAGACTCACCAAATCCCAAATTACTTGCCCCTGAAGTGATTGCTAAAATTCCTCTTGAATCAAGAGCCTTGAGTAGCTCATTAAGCCATCACATAAAAGCTCACTGACTTTGCCAAGCTTGTTTTGTGAAAACAATTACACTAAGGCAAGAAATTCTTCTGCAGAACTGTAGCATCACCTAGAGCTTCAAGTGACGCTAGTGATCTAATCCACCTGCTTTCACAGGTAATACCACTATGAACTTACCCTGAGAATGAATTTAAGCTGCTGTGTGTTGGTAAGAACAGAGCTTTTCTCTCACCCCCTTCCCTATCATCCCCTCAAAAGGAACAAGGCTCTGAATGTGGTCTAAAGGAAATTCTTTAACTACACAAATAAAGATTAGAACGTATTTGCCCAACAGTTTTACCTACTAGTCACCAGTTCTCCCTGTTTGTCTTGCTAGGCAGCTTCTGTTGTAACTGAGGTAATTTAGTATGAAAAATGTGAGCATGTAAGTGAGCTCTCCCTATATACGTACACAAAGCAACACCTGATTAACTACTGCTTACAAAATAAGGTATGCTGTAATAGCAGCAAGAGAGCATAACCACGAGTGGTAAATAATGCTGGTCTAACTCACTGTACTGTTTTTATCTTTATTATACACCTACAATGAAAATACAAGTTCATCCCTAAGATTTTAATTCCTGCAGATATTTAACAGTCTATCATGGTCTGGGATCTAAACCTTGGGGCGGGGCTTGGGTTTTCTGTTCCTGTTCTGGCTGAATGCTCTTCAAACACAAAGAGATATAACAAGCTGTTAAAACATGTTTAAAAATTACATTTTTAGATTTTCCAAAAAGTAAGAAGATATACTTACTTCAGTATCATATTCATAGTTTCATTTCGATCTTTACCTTGAAATGGTAGTGTACCAGTAAGCATTTCAAACTGAAAAGAACAAATGTTAATCCAAATCAACACTTCTTCCCCCAATTGCTCAGTGTTAAGTATTGTAGTCTGTCCTAACACTACGTTAGACATAGCGGCTTGAGTTTTTAAAAGATTATCAAAGAAGTTCACGAATCTAAAATTTCATTTTCATTGGAAGTTTACATGATAATAACAGTGGCAAGTGTAATGTAATGATGATGTAGGAATATTTTACATCCGTAAGCTACTTTAAGTAATGAAATCCTCTCCATAATCAAGTTTTAGAAGTTGCCATAGTCTGAAAACAGCAAGAAGAAAAAGAATTCTAAAACAATACTTTACTTTTAATGTCAATATGCATATTTCTGCCTGCTGCTCTAACACATCACAGCAAAGGCATAAGTGCTAGCGGTTACAGGCTTATTTCACTACTCCACTACAGCAGTCATTCAATAGGCTTACACTTACAAAAATGCAATTAATATTCCATCAAACCAAGGCTCCAGGTTTTTTTTTTCCCTTATTTATCAAGTAACATGCAAAATAAATACACAAACTGAAGTTTCACACTGACTACAATTGTTCTAAACTACTAACGGACTACACGTGATTTTTATGGTTCCTGATAAGTACACTTTACAGGGATAAGCAGGTGAAGAATAAATTTTATTCAAATTAATTTCTATTTCAGTAGCAATTCAGTTACTGAATTCACTCTTCCCCTTTCCCAAGCATTCATTAATGGATCTGGACAAGCTTATTCTAACTAGATTATTTCACATTCACTTAAACATACACAGTGTATTTGTGACCTTAAGCAAGGTAAGCAACGAAGCATACAGTACCATGAGAACACCAAAGGACCACCAGTCAGCACTCTGGTTGTGCCCTCGCCTGTTTACTACTTCAGGTGCCATGTATTCTACAGTACCACAGAAAGAATAGGCCTTCTTCTCTTGATCTACTGATTCTTTGCTGAGTCCAAAGTCTACAACAACAGCATTACAAGAATACAGCCAGTAAAGAACTTTAGAGAAAAAAAACAATACTGCAGATGGTATTTTAAAATCCAAGTGTTGACAGCTTTTGCTTGTTTGCTTTCAGGACTATTATGTGATTATCCTAGCTCTTAATGAAACAAGAAATCACAGATATCTAGAGATACTAAAGACATTTAGTTTACTACATACCACCAGAATCATTCTATAAGTCATATTAAAGTGATGGTTAGCCATCGATATTACTACTCAAAATAACTCAGTATTTGAAATATTACACATTTAGAGCATTAAGATAATAAAAAGTTCTAATTTTCCCTGTTTACTGTCTGCTTATTCACATAAAAATTGGATAGAAGTAAAAATGAGTTTCAAAGAGAGCATGGTCTAGTATTACTGAGTGATGAATAAATAAAATCAGACTAAAATATTGTTGTTATATAAGACAACAGGGTTCTGCAACCTGACTCAAGTTCAGTAAAGAAGTCTTGTATATCTGCTCACTTTACTCCCAGAATACTTTTTTACCCCTAGTTGGAACAATGCCACTGAATACACAAGTCCTTGATATTAGCCCAACTCTCAAGATGAGGCTCTCAAGTGCCCCTTTTTTCAAAGGGGAAATGATTGCTAATCAATAGACCCATCAATTATTCTTTCTAGTTTCAGAAGGAAGTGAGAATTTTAGGGCTGAATTGGATTTAAATATATCATGCAAAATTTTTAAAATGATGTATTTGATAAAGATTCTTTCCATCACCATTATTTCATCAAGTCTTTCAGAGTTTAAGAAACTTAATTTTTTCTTGGAATCTAATAGCAATATCTATAGATCAAAATACATAATGTAATTTATAATACAAAAGCATCACTTTAAATGTAATTTAAAGTTTTCAGAAGTTCATAGTAATTTGGTTTCCAAAGTCAGTCTTCTGTACGTATCATTTCCTAGAATATATCTATTTTAATTGTTCCTCATAGAACATTTTTTGCAATTTTATATGTATTTAAAAGTGATAATTCAGAAACACAAAAGAATAGTAATATTTCAGAAGTCTTATTGTGCATGAAAATAATATTACACCAAAAAAGCATCTCTGTCCCCTTTTAAAAGAAGTCTCACAGTCAGCAACTTTAGGCTAAGTGTATAACCTCCTGATCTTCAGATAAAAAGCATTTCACAGTAAACCTTTATACAGCTCACTCTCTAACTGGAATAGTGGATAGTTTTAGTTACTAACATACCACCACCTGAAGTAAAGTTCTTTAAAAAAAAAACCCAAAACATACCTAATGTCTGCTTTTGTATTTTCCATTACAATTCTGCTATTTTAACCACAGCAATTAGTATCTGCACTTTACAGCAATATTGCTGCTAACACTGCAACTTGATCTATGCAAATATTAGCCAGCAGGAAAACTAACTTCCACAGAACCTTCCAGGACAGTAAGACCATACCTTAGGCTCATAACTAAAAGCTTATACAGAAATATGCTCAGAGAGTGCTATACTAATAAGTGTTACCTACCTGTTAACTTGATATGTCCTGCTTCATCAAGCAAAATGCTGAAAATTAAAATTCACATTCACCAACACACATAAAGAGGAATGTTTACATACAACATGTAAAATATAATAGTTAACATTTTTGATGTTCAACTTCTGTCATTAATTTAACAAGCCGATACTGCTTCATTTAAATCAGACATTTTTTACATTTTATGTTTGCTTACATAGTCTAACAAAAAATATTTTTAATTTTTTACATCACTACAGAGGAAAATGCAAAGCAACAAGCAAAATACACATAATAGTGGTAAAATACATTTTACTTTACTTTTCTGGCTTCAGGTCCCTGTATACAATTCCCAAGCTGTGAAGGTGATCCAAAGCAAGGGCCAGTTCTGCGAGGTAGAATTTCACATCTTCCTCTGTAAACATAACCTAATAAGAACTGTATAGATTTACCTTCTGATCTTGTCTTCAGTTTTTAAAACTGCAATCTAAAAAAAATAGACCTGTCTGCCTAAATTTCAAAATAAGTTTTACAAGTGCCTTATGAACTCATAATTCATTAATTCACCTAACAGAAATGATACAGTAATACAGGCTAATCATCATATATACAAAAGAACTACCTGCAATACTTAAACAAAACCATCATCAGTTACTGCAAAGCATTAGCTAACTTTTAAGGTAATAAATTTACTTGTTATATTGGGTGTTACGGACCACCAGCACTCCTCTTGCCACAATCCTGCACATACTGTTTTCCACTGCATCATAAAATTTAGTATACGACTGCTGTATTGGGTGACTGTCTCTGGGAATTCACATTAACAGTATTTAGAAGAAGAAAGTACAAATCATTTAGAAAAAAGTATGCAAAACAAAACACTTTGGTGAAAATGACAACATTGAAATCTGCAGTGGGAGTTGAAGAATCTACTTTGCTCTCTGGAAATTTTAAGAATCCTAGTGCAATACTGAAAAACTGACTAATGCTGCATATAGAGAATTTGAGAGGGGTATTTCTTTCCTAAATACTCAACAGGTTGCTTCTAATTTCATATACAAGAATCATACCTGCTTTGGCTCTTGTCATGTTCTACAAATTACTAGAGAAGATAGTAAATTTTAAATTACTAGAATTGAATTTGAGGTTTAAATTAACTATTTCCTTGTTCATTGAAAACACAAGGAACAAGGAAAACAGCCATCTTAACTTCACAGTAGATAGCTAACAAGACTTAAATTATGGTAACTGGGCTTACTGATAAAGTACACTGATCTGTACTTCGAATTGCACATATAATCTCTTCTACTGGCAACAGAAATACTCCTAATTTCCATAATGATAGGTATTAACTTTGTACAAACAATAAAGCTGTTACGCTACAAAGTTTCACTTTGATTTTTTTTAAAGAGCAATGTTGAGATTGTTTTTTATCTATATCCAAAAGACCAGGAGGAAACCTTGGATATCATTACTCGTTGGGGTAGCCAAAATGCAAATCTCAGAATACAATGATGCTAAATGGTAATCTACAATCTCCCAATAATAATTTCACTTAAAACTGCTGTGCCAAATTAAACACCAGGCAAGTCAACTTCGTTAAATGTTACCAATGAAAACTTCATTATATATTCATTTCACTTCCACAGCTGAAACTAATACCCACATTAGAATTGAAAAGACCAGCGGAAGTGTTATAATAACCTCATACTAAACCAAATTTAAAACAATCCTTCTGTGGAAAGTATGAAATGCCATGGCAAATTTACCTCCATGTGTATTGTCCACCATCTTTGTTTTACCATGTACTTTTGAAAATATCTTCTCTCCCCACCAGAAATTAAAAAGGCCTCTTTTGACACAGCAGGTGTTTAAAAGTAGTCATAAAGGGTAAATGAAGTCTTCCAAAAAAACCCAATCCCAACATTTAGAGACTTAACAGTAAGAAAACTTGACAATTATAACTACTTTATTCCCAATGGGAATACATACCTCTTTCAACCACCTAGCTAGTCTTATTATAGATAGACTTGCATCCCTTATTTAAGAATGTTGCATACTCGGTAATCCCAGCTGTGTTAGTGCAAAAGAACAGTTCTTCCTGCTACACCAGTTTCTCCTCTATAATTAGACATCTATATCAAAGCAGAGACTGACCTCTTTCCTACCTACTCTTCCAATAACCCTTTACAAGTCAGTCAGTTTAAGCTTTTCACCTCCATTTTAAACTCAAGGTTAATTAATTTTGAGCTCAATTCTTAGACATGATCACTGTTTTACCAAGTTTAGATTTTAATAAAAAACAAAAACCCCTTTAAATTCTTCCTTCTCTTTCACTTGTTCCTAAACTAAAGTTTTATTTTACAAAAAGCGTATGGGAAATAACTTAGCTCATGGTCTGATATACTGGGGATACAACCATCCCCATGTCATGAAAAAAAAAAGTCAGATACTCAATTTTCTCCTTGAAGATAATGGGTTTTCCTACGTATTAGCAACATAAGTATATTTACACTGGTAAAAACACTGAAAAGCACTCTTACTGTGAAGTTGTTGAGAAATTGCCATTAAAAATTTAATTTTTATGAAAGGTTTACAGAAAGAAAGAGTCTTACAGACGTGTTCATAATACTTAAGATAACATATAATCTATATTTGATGACAAATGTTTTTAAAAAAATAATAGCAGACTGCATCACATTCCCTCCTCTGAAGCTCTCTCCAGCAAACAAAAATAGGAATGAAAAATTAAAGTTCCAGTTGCATGCCAATGTTACATGAAGGGGAGTGGTCTCAAAAATACTCAGCGTTCACACTTTGTGAGATTAAACATTAGGATTTGTATTACAGCATTATGAAATTTTACAATGCAGCAGAAATCTCTTACAGATGTGGACTTCGAGGAGCACCTAAGCTGACTATGAGCATGAGAACTATACATCCCCTTTCTTTATTGCTCCATCTTATTTACTTCAGTTAGGTTTCCAAGCAACAAAACATTTTTAGACAAAAGAACTGTACTTCACAGATACCAAATTAAAACTGATGCTACTAATCAATACACAATCATGTTATAGACTATATTCTACCATATGTGAGGGAAACCCAACTAAGTTATTAAAAACTTGACTATAACAAGAAATGTGGGTTAAACAGCTATAGAAGACAACCCTATACTGATAAAAACCCTATCTGTCTAACACAGAGCGGAGATAAAATTTTAGGTACTTACCTCTTTGGATAATCGTGTGAATACATCTCCTCCCCTGAGAAAATCCAATATTAAATATAGCTTCCCTTCAGTCTGAAAGGCTTTTTAAAAAAAAAAAAAAAATCAATAGTTGTGTGACAAAGATGATCTACAAAACAGATCTGAATGCTTGGAAATTTCAGTGAAAGGTAACACTTTTGTTACGGAACTCAAATAATTCAGCAGCACATGAGGTAATTTAATGAATGATTACTTGCTTCTTCACAGAAGACAACCTTAGTCATCTGAGATCATTAAAATACTGTTCTTTTATTTCTCCTTTGTCAAGCAGGGAAACACCAAGTATGTGAATTGCTGTGTTTTGGTTTTACTCAAAGTAAAAAAAAAAAATCTCTGCAGAATTTAAGAATTTTCCATTTAATCGTTAATTTCAAAGGAACTTAATTTGTGCACTAAAATGGACACTACAGAACTGAGAAAGAACAAAATCAGCTATGCCTTCAAGAATTGAAAGAAACTGTAGCAAAAAAATACCAACCATAGTGCAGTTTGACGATAAATGGATGATTTACTTCTACTAATATATCTCTCTCCATTTTTGTACGAACTCTATCCCGAACTACAAAAAAGAAAAAGAGACTAGTATGAAACAAATGTATTTAGTTTAATACAAAAGGAGCAGAAATTAGCATATAGAAAGTCTCTGCTGTCTAAAGAAGTACTTTGCCTTGATATCTTATTTGGTTTTAATTTTTAAGTCTCCCACAAAACACATGCTTTCAGACAGCAAAACTTTATTTTGTTTCTTACCTGCCCCAGTTTCCTTAATGTCTACATTTTATTTTCTAACACATTCCAGTATTTTGTGATAAACAGTATTACTTTCAAGAAAAAAGCTCACATCTACTCTTCCAGGCTGCTGTACTATCTGTACTGAATATATATTTTCTGTCTTTTAAGATTACTTTTCCTCTTTAACTAGTAACAGTCCCTATTTACAAACAGTAGAACTGCATCCATTAAAGTGTCTTCTGGAAGCCAAAACAGTAAGTTAGCTTGCTATGGTACCTATAACAAGAAGGAATAACTTAACAATTTTAACCACAGTAGAGTCCTAACTTAAAAGACAAAAGAAAAACTGTTTCTGAAATTAATTTATTTTATATTAAAGACTAAGCAGAATTAAATAATATAATTTTAAATTTTGAAAGAGTATTTTTTACCACATAATTAAAGCTATTCTGCTAGGTTTAAAATATTTTTTAAACATGAACTTACAAGTTACTCTAGAAAAATGCTGCCTTCAGAGAAGAGTTATGAACTTACTGAAAAATATTTAGGATTAAAAGCAATTTACAAACAAGTATATACAAGACTCATTTAAGAGATACAGATGCACTGAAACCCATTTTCTAAAGTTCCAACTCAAAAGATACACACACCTTTTAAAGAAGCTTTTTTCAATACTTTCATTGCATAAAGTTGCCCAGCGTCAGGACCAATTATTTTCCGTACGAGGAAGACCTGGCAATATAAACACCACTTTTAAAATGAGTGTTAAAAATACTTTACATAAACTTGACTAAAAAACATTACTATGTCTTTACTTTTAACTTAATACAGACAAGGTGACAGCACATCCCTAGTCCCATCCCATTCCTCAAAAACTCTGAGGAACGAAAAGATGCCAAATACTCCTATCAAGTCATTTTGGATAAGCAAGCTTAGTAATCAAATAAGCAACTATCACAAACGTCCCATTAATTTCAGACAGCTTCAGTGTTCCTTCCTAAATACACAACTTTAAAGGAAGGGCAAAATTGCATTCCCTTCATCACATTAGAGGTACACGCACCACCAAGTTCTCTGAAGTATTCTGATTGGTCACAAACTATATATTGTTTCATATAGCAAGCTGTTTAAACTACTTATCAAATAAATACTTACATATAAATGTTTGTTTATATTATTTTCTTGGACAGTGACAATTCTGCCTGGTCTGTCACCTCCTAAGAGATTTCTGAGGTTTAAGAGCCAAGTCTCAAATACGTAACAGGCTATATTCATGAATTCTGTAAGAGTGGTGAGGCAAAAGCAAGAAAACCTCACCATTTAAGATCAAAGCACCCTTTCCCTCTGGAATAGCAACTCCAACAGGTTTTTCTACTCTTTTCTTCCAAGAGGAGTCTTAAAGATAGAGGGTATATAACTTGACACTAAGAAAAGCATAATATTAGATAGAATAATGAAGTACAAATACATGTACCTCTGCTGACTAATATTCTAACTACTAGGTCTTTCAATTTACAAAATTGTTCGGTACGTGCTCCTGTTTCCACGTTGCTGCTCTTATAATAGCAATTATTACTTCTGAGGAATGTTTGTACTGGAAAAAAAAAGTACAAGTCACAAGAGAATGCCAAGAGCTAACCAAAACTTCCACTCTGAACTCCCCTTATTCAGATTTCATTAACACTAGATTTACATATATGCTTTGTTGGAAGTTATTAAATATATAGAAATTATTTTTAAAAAATAATCAAATAAACTTAACTTTTTCACTCTACAATCAGAAATTCATACACTGTCACTGACTAAATTGTACAGGGTTGGGATAGAGGTTGGTTTTATTTTAAGCTCTAGTTAGATGGAAAATATCATCATGTTTCAAGGTTTTCACACTTTTTGTTTTCTTTAAGTTTTGTCCAATGATTGACCCACAGCACTCCTCTCAATGTTGATGATGAAATAGTAAAGGAAGTAAATCAAACACCAGCAAATAAGAAAGCCTCTGTAGATTTATACACAATTATAACAGTAAAATATTAAGCTTGTAAAATATTTCAGTGCTTAATAACTAGAAGCTTGTGAGAATGTAAGGAATTCAGGTACAAGTTACAAATTCTAGCTCTTAAGGACCAAAATAGCTGCCACTGAAAACTACTTGAGCACCATCTATTTGATTTGCAGACAAAGTCTGTCTCCATAATCCCACATCTTGTGGAGATGCAATGATCAGTTGTTCAACTGTGAAGCAAAATCAAGATGGGCACATGTTGCACAAGATGATTCACCTAAGCAAATCGAAGATCTTCAGCAGATGAGGTGCTGAAGCCTTAGAAGCTTCTCAAAGGCTGAAGAGAGAAATTCAGTCACAGACATAAGGTTTAACCCTTTATTTCTGTGAAGCAGTGTTAAATCCTGCACAGATGTCAAAAGACAGGTAGAGGATGAGCTGTAGCACTATACTAGGCTAGGGCAAACAAATGCGTTTGCTAAATCCAAAGGGAGATCCCTGGGAAGTATGAACTGAGAAGAGAAAAACCACCATGAAGGCAACAGCCACTAATCTCTATTGTTTCTTTTCTCTTTTCAATAGAAAGCAACAAAAAGTCCCACCATCAAGCTGGTGGGACTCTGAGCAAGAGCGTTCCTTTGCCTCTCAGATGTCTGAACTCTCTGAAGTAAGAATCTGCCCAAGTCAGGGCTAAGATGTCCACACCAGAGGAGCTGAATCCTAAATTAGATTAAGACATCTCAAGTCAGGAGTAATAAATGCATGGAGCCTTTTAGACTCTGTAGAGGGGAAGTGTATAAGGGAATTGGCAAACATCACCACCAGATAACAAAATCTTTCTTAAGCTGTAAAACCTTTAAGAAATACTTTAAAGTCTGTTTTCTAAACTATCACTTATTCACAGAATGCCTTACTAATGTCTAAAGTTTTCCCCCACTCTTGTACAACTCTGTGCAGAGGTTTGTTCCTGCCATGAGATAGACAAAACCAGCAGAAAAACAGGAAAACGGAAACACATATAAAGCTGATTGTCTACATTTTATGTGTTGCAAAAGATGTAGTTTAAGAGTCTGTTTTTAAAAAAATAAGTTAGCTTCTTATACACAAGGATTAATATTTCAACTAATGTGTTTCAAACTTCTCAGACAATTTGATTTTTACTTTAATTTCAGCAATGTGACACCAAGTGGCACAATACAAAAATAAATTATTCTAACAAAAAAAATGCCATATTTCTTATATATATTATTTGAATATTTGTTCACTCAGTGTCCTTTCGCTGTAGATCACTTGACAAGTACAGCAAAATAATAAAAACTGAAATACATTTCTCGGGTTATTTACCTTATTGTTACTTTGGTTCAAGTTCCAAACTACCACAGCCATTCTGTATCTACATCAATACAGGTTTCATACATTGAAGAAAGTCTAACATTCTCAGCGTGTCAAGTACCATCATTAACAGACAAATCACCACCTCTTCCAGAAGTGTCTATTGATGTCTATTACACTGCTGGCACCTCCCAAGCATCAACCTAAGCTACAGAAGATGTGAGGCAACCTATATGAACAGAGATACTGTTCGTTCAGATGCCTCAATAGATGCTGCAATAAAGTTTTGAGGCAGTTGGAAACACTACAGTTTTATTCCAAATAGCCATGGCATTAGGCAAATGGAGCTTGTCAACACCAGAGCTGTTGCATAAAAACCACCCCTAACTATAACCCAGCTGATAAAATCCCTTGCTGTTGGCGCCATTGCTCCCATGAAGCTGCAGATGCTTGTCCAGATGAACCACAAACATGCCTCTCCGTTCGGTTAAAGCAAACTAACTTTCCATAACAGACCTCCTAAAATTCGCTACTGACTGACCCTTCTGCCTAGAGACTGAGGCTGTTGCTTCTGTAACAGATATGATTTGGTGTCCTGATGCAACCAGTGTTCCCCTGGCACCAGAGCAAGATTGGAAAATAATGAAATTTTTCAGTGTCTTTTCAAACATTCCCAGCAACTTTGATGCAGCACTACCTTTATTGAATGTCTGGATAAGTCTATGGAAAAAGACACTGCTTTTCCTCTAAAACCCATGAAGTCAGAAATGTTATCATTGTAAAAAACAAACACACATACCATCCTCCCCACCCAACTTTAAAACAGGATGGATGTCTTCCTCCAAAACAGGACAATTTCCACAAGCATATCTACCCGTACTCAGATTTATTAGGTTTATACCTAACCTTGTAGCATTATAGAAGTAATGGAAGACAAAGCAGGTTCGAGGTGGACATCAGATGAAAATAAAGTTTGTTATCTTACCTTCCCAAATGATCCCTGTCCAAGAACCTTAAGTAGTTCAAACTGTGCTGGATCTGCTTTCTCACATCCTTCTTTCACATGGTGTGTAATAGGAATTTCTTTCACACTTCCTTCATCCTATTATTTAAAGGCAAACAAAATAAAACAATGAACAGGCCTGAATTAATCAACTCTCATTTGAAGTACATGTAAATGCCTGCTCTTTTCCTGTTGTTTCATTTTTTTTGTTGACTTTTTGTTTGTTTTTTAATATTTGAAATTCTAATAAGGCATAAAAGAAAGCTGTCCAAATGAAGAGGTTTTCTATCCATCCTTTCTTAAATAGATGATCTAAAATTTCTAAACTGCAGTAAAATTCTTAAAGAACGCTCATGTCCTTTTGTCATAAATATTACAGCTACTGCAAAGACAGATTTTCTTACATGAAAGGAATAAATGTACAGATTTTTAAACCAAGTCTACGATGATCTTTCTGTGCTTCACCTCTGTTTTAGTGGCCTTCAGTTTTCCAGTGATTACTCTCGTCATCTTCCCCTTTCCTGAAAGAGTCTTAATGAAAGCTAAATTAAATTTCATCATTTTAACTAATTATTGCTTTTCACAGCAGCAAATAATAAATATGGTCATCCACTTGTAGCTAGAGGAACATGCATCATTTGATGAGCATAAATAAAATATGAGTCGTCTCAAGAACACTGAGAATTCTTGCATCTAACAGAAGAAACACAGCTCTGGGGTACAGAGCTCATGGAAAGACTACCCTGTGTGGAGACCTCCTTCAGAAAGCTGAGAGCAATTCTCAGGTAGATAAAAGATTTATTGTTCTGTTGACTTTTTCCTGTTACTCTCATCTTTACCAAAGCAAGGCACAGCAGCCACAATTGTGAAAAGACAAACATTCATGATGAAAACAAATCAGGTGATGTATTGCAGCTTTTATGGTGCAAGAGAATTTTCTGTGAGCCAAAACAAGTACCCCTGAAACTACAAACTACATGCTAAGGCCTACAACAGCAACCTGAGCTTGCATGTACAAAAAGGAGCAGCACTCCTCAGATCTATCAAGAATACCAATTAATTTCTTGCACATTGCAAATACAATTCAATCACAACAGAAAAACCCACCTTTTGCAATACGTGGACATCTTTAGGGTATTCAAATGATTATTAACTGTCCTCCAATCCTCTCTTTAGATCTTCATCTTGAAAGCTTCTCTTAGTAGAGACCAGAAAAACACCCTGCCAACCTATAGTGCATTGCTTTCCCTCAATGACGGTGAACACCACCAGGAAAAGACCTATCACTTGATGAAAAACTTGGTTTTAGGAAAGAACTACATTCTATAGTCAGGTTGATTACAGAATGTCTTGCCGTCCAAGACCATGCATTAAGATTTATAAATTAGCATTATCAGACTTGATACAGAAGTATCTAGATTAAATTCTCTAGGTGGGTTTATGCAGAAATTCAGGGCAGAAATCTGATCATCTAAATGTGTACTTATTTAATCAATAATTAAATTAAAAAAGGGGAGGGGGCGGGGGGCAATCATCACACTGCATTAACTATCTATGCCTTAAGTGCTTTGTTTGCCCAGAGGTGGAAAGAAAGAGTTCAAACTAACACCTTAGTATATTCACAAACTGTAGTCCAGCCATTATTGTACTTTTGTATCCTTTCCCCTCCCCTACGTCTCTTATTTCATACTCTTTCTGGAAAAGGCCTGTTTGTTCCACCTGCTTCCCGTGCAAAGGTAGGTACTAACACAAGGCATTGCTAGATAACAAAGTTAATTCTTTAATTCACACTCTAAGCTACTCTATTTCCCTCTCTGTTCACAAAAAAAGACAGCTGACATACCTGTACCATCAGTGTATACATCCTAACTTCATTTAATCCATCCATCTTGTTGACTATGCATATACATATTCATAGGAAAGATGTACATCTCTTTTTTTTAAACACATGCCTGGAATTTGAGCCAGGTAAGAACACTAGCATTTCAAGTCATCTGATGATAGATGAAAGCAGCAAGTTATACACCAAGTTGTATAACAATCTTAATGGTTGATTCTTTCTATAAAGTACTTTGTTTAGAAGCCTTTTTACTTCACCATCCTAATTTGTATTGCCTACTACTGTGAACCTTTGCATGAGAAAAGATCTTTGAAAGTTCACCTGCTCTTCTGTTTGTCACCCACCTTGAGTCATTAGCCTGTGACATCACATGTGGTTGCTGCAGAGACTGACTGACAGAGAAACATTTCTAAATGTGAACTGAGGAGAAAAATGTTTTCCATGAAAATAAAGAATAACTTGAGATGTATGAAATGAGTTATTTTTTATGAAGTGTTTTACCTTCACAAAAGACGTCTATATAGTTTCACCTACTTAACTATCATTAAAGTACTAAAAATTGGTATGACTGAAGTGTAAAAAGACCTCTGCATCACCAACAAGAAATGAGCAGGTAAAGAATTTCACAGATATATAATCCAGGTAAATTTTTAGTTCTAGTTTGGCCTTCATGAACTGCAAATTTGGTTATCTGATTTTGTGCTCTGCTGCTTGAGGAGCTAAATCTACTTTAGGGCTCAGGTACCAGCTACCACTGAGTTGCCTTGCCTAAGAGGTAACTATTCCCAGCAGGTTCAATAGAAGACAAAGCACTGAAAGAAACACCACAATCAGTTATGGCTTTGTGCCATCTCACTTTGTTACAGCTTGACTGGTATGTAGCTCCAAGCACCTAAAAAACAAGCTCAGCAACATCCTTCTGGTTCAAGTACAGTAAAGGGCTGAGACAACCCATTGCTCATCTTTCTTTGCTACACGTAAGAGGACTATGACACTGTTTATTTACTTTGCATCAGGAAATGTCCAAGTACTACGTATCTACCCCTAAGAGTTTATTCTCCAAATCACTTAAAAAGTTACTATTGCAATACGAAGCAGCAGTTACAGCTGGCAGTAAGATCTACCTGACACCTTCTTCCATGGTCCTGTTCAAAAATATATGAACAGGTGTGTTGAAAAACAATGGCAAATTTTTCCTTGCAAAGTCAGGCATTTCACCACATACAGATTTAGCGTGAAGTTTAGTCCAAGATTTATCCAGCATACAGAATATTGATCTTCAACATCTCCTACATATGCACATCTCCAAGGCACTGGACAGAAGTCATGCTCAACAGGGTTTATCTGGGATATTTCTACATAAAAGTCAAATCAACATACTGGTGTAAAAATTACTTCTGTTCTAAAATAGGAGGAATTAAGTACCTTCTATATGAACGTGCATCAACTATATTAAAAAACACAAAGGAAGAACCGATGACAGTGTAATAAGAGCAACAGTAAGTGCATGTGGTGTATAAAAGGTTCAAGGTTGGACTGAGCATTTTCTGAGGTTGAGAGGTCTGTAAAGACTCTCTCCAGCAGACAGAATTTGTTTCCCATAAAGCACTGCCTCCTGCAGCAAACTTTCCCAAACAAGGCACTTACAGCCCCTGCCCAGGTACTAATTTTCAAAACCATCTATGAGACCTAGAACCTCTTCATATCTGGTCAAATAAAATGATAGGCTCAAAACTTATTAAAGAGTAGGGAATGCATAAGTTTTGCTTCAAAAGGAAGTCATGCTAATGAGTGTCTAAACCAAACTTCTGTCAAATATACTTACATGGTAGGAATATGGTTCACCTTCTTCCATAGGCTCATCTGCCATTTTAAGGCCATTTAGCTGGAAAGGGGAAGGAAGGGGAATGAAGAAGTGGGGGGAAGAGAGGGGGTGGGGAAGAAAGAAAAAACAAAGCCAACATTAAAATCTAACAATTTCAAATAAGCAGAGTTCATAATTTGGCCAATTTACATTTCAGAGCACACAAATGAAAACTGGTGTTCTTGTTGCTCTCATTTAAAACTGTAGTTTCAAACAAATACTACTACTTGGTAGTTATAGTTAGCATCTCCCTTTTGTATCATCTAGCATATTCCTTTGTAAATGCCATTCCAGAGTGTTATTTAATTGGAAATACTTTAGAATTCCTTCTTTAAAAGCTACGGATACCAGCCATACAAGATGACAGTAACATAAAATTGTCATACACAAAATTTATGTTGCAGATGCTTTTCAAAAACCTAAGATCCTAAAAATCTGGTGCTGAAAATTTAGTTGCAGTTTAAGGAAAAAAGAATCAAAAGTGATTTCAAGACTTTTTGGGGCAAGAGGGAAAGGACTAGAGCAAGTAGATCAGAGAACACATACCACAGAATTCTTACATACAAAAATAATTATCTGTTTCCTTAAAAAAATTAGATTCCTCTAAAAGTTTTCTTGCATCAAAAGTTATTTAAATATCTAGCAAACAGAAAACTCAAACTTTAATGAAGTACTTTTAAATCTGTAGATCTGTATGTTAAAATACTTGTGGCTCAATTTCAAAAGTACATCTTTAAGGGCCAGGAAAATATGATATGCACCTGGACAGAAGCAAATAAATTACATGCTCTTAAAGGAACACAATAACTGCTAGGAGTTGCCTACCTTATTTAGTTTAAGCTCTAAGTAACAAACAACTCAATGCTGATCAACAACTGAAACTTAAGAAAAAAGTACATAAATATAAAGGACATGCCCTGTTTAAACATGTAAAGCCTTAATTAAAAACTAGAAATACCTGACAAAATGGGTGAAGCCAATTATGGATTTTGCTAGCAGTAATTGCTAATTTATTTGTATGTTAATTGTTCAGCATCACTACCTTCACGTGGCATAGACCTCACACAACAAAATACAAACTAGAAAGTACATACTAGAAGTAACATAAGGAAACTCAAACTACTTTATTCCTGAACCAATTAAGTTCTTAGACATGGTAATCATATTTTTTTTTTTCTTGTACTTCTGAATTTATCTAAAGCACATGCCTAGGACAGCAAAATATGGTGAGATTATTAGTATGTGAATTGGAAAAACACAAGACTACAATGAATCTTGAAATGCCATAGAGACCATGCGCCTGTTTAAAAACAAAACAGAAAACTTGACAAACAAGTAAGGCTGAAGGGACAGGTTTATACCACCACAATTGCGTCACCTAAGCAAACCCTCAACCACTTCCACTGCTTCTTTTAGAACTCTTGATTTCAAGTAGAGCTTTTAAGAGCCAAACCCTAAATTAATAATTTTGATAAACTTAAATCTCCAATTTTTGTATCAAGATACGGGCACTTATTGTTGAATTATATCCCCCCTTAAAAATAATATCAAGTCAAGTAGCATGAGGCTTTGGTTACTTTCACTCTTCTCTAAGTTTCTATTTATTTTAACAACAGTTTACACACATACTCTTCACATAAACTATAATCTGGCAGTTTAACCAAGCAGTGGCAAATTCAACACATGTTCATTTTTCATATCTATCATGGATTTTCACCCTAATTTCTCAAGGCCAGAAATCACTAACCTATTAGTCTGGATTCAGAAACTTCACATATGCTAAAGAACCTGATGCTATAAACTCATTTCTACTATGCATAATTTTTTTTTCAAATTAAATACTGGGAAGGACGAGACACTCACAATACTTGTTATTGTATGAGTTAATTGAATACATCAAGAAATAATTTCAAAGTTCAGACCAGAAATTAACTCCAACTTCACTTCAGACGATTCACTGCCATGCAATTTCTTTTCACAATATCACTAGATCACATTCAAGTGTGAATCAATGTGAGGCTCAAAGTTGTCCAAAAAAGTTATTTGGACCTAGTAATAAAATGGGTTTCTGCTCCACCTGCTCAGAAACACAATACAATTCTTCACTCATGGACTTTAATTTGAAGTGAATTTAGCATGCATTTCTTCTTTCTTTAAATATGGTCAACATTTTCTAAATTTCGTTACGTAAATTTAAGCTCTGGAACCAATACTACCAGCCAGAAGAACTACAGCTACACTGAAAACAGTAGCTTAACTCCAGGCAATCAGATACAGAAAGCTGTCACTGCTGGAATGAGGTTTTGAACTAAAACCCAGCATGTTATATGATCTACATAGCTCCTGAGCACACCATGTAAGCATACTTCCAGCTTGCTGGCAAATCAAATACAACAAGTTATTGGATCTTTATGGCAGGCAATCAAATGTCATCTTAATTAACAATTTTCTATTGTACACTTTTCCTCTTTATTGTTGTTCATGTTTTTGTGGTTTTTTTTTTTTTCTTTTCTCCTGTCCAGTCTCTCTTTAACTACAAAGACTGGGATGCCTGCCAATTTTTAGTCCAAAGAATTTTATTTTCAAGTGCATGAGTCTACTTGCATTGCCTGATATACACAACTACACTTTTGCCTTGTTTGTTTGTGAACCCTGATCTCTATGCATTAAAAAACAAAACAAAACAAAAACACAAAACTGTCAGATTGCAACCAAAGTCCAGTAGTTTTTCAGTAAAAAAAAAAAAAAAAAAAAAAACAAAAAATCAATTACAAGAATCAAATCATTACTGTTCTGTACAGCTACTTATATTGCCCAGGTTTCAAAAACCAGAAGTTTCCACTGCCCCCCATATTAGACAGAAAAGTTACAATTAATACTTAATTCCCACCTCTATAGAAATCAAATACAAAATTCTGCTTCTGCAGCCAAGTGGGACCCCTTTTAGTGATTTAGTCAAGATCATTTGTGCACAAACATATATAGAGGTTAAAATAGTTATGTTCTAAGTCGTTACTTACTAAATATCTCACTAAATAATGAACACACAATTTTAATATATTATTTGAGAATTAGAAAGTACATATCACTATAAACAGGAGAGAGGAAGCGAGTACCATTACTCTAAACGAGATTCTTTCATCCTTGAATCATTTTGTTGTTCAGTACTGATAAAGTCCTACAACAAACTGAACATTTTAAATATTAACTTTTATTAAGACACAAACTAAACTCAGACATCTAGGCAAACAGCATCAATACTTCCCAAATACAAATGTTGAAAAGTACATAAAGTATTCCACATCGTTAATTAGTATAAAAATAACCGAGACAATAACATAAAAACATGAGAACAAAGTTAAGGTCAGACAACCTGGCAGGTAAGAAACTTACTTTTCCAGAGGTGCAGGCTAAGAGACCCAATCCTCCAACGCCAAACCGCCTCTGAGGTAACACAGCGCAATCTGCTTTCTGATTTAAATAGCCGCGATGGATCCCATGACTCCCTGGGACTATACCCTATTACCTTGGGAGAATATCCAAAGGGCTTTTGTGGGCTGGAAAAAGGCTTGACTACTATTGCACATGTTTTTCCTCTGATAATTACAGCAGAACAGAAGAATCCCAGTATTACCAAAGATTTGAACCATCCTCCCCCCCACACACCCAGTATTAAGGATGTTTTAACTGTTTCCATGGTAAATGCGTTACTGTTTGGTGGGTCTATAGGTTTTGGCCAAAAGAAGCCAGGCAAATTGTCAGCAAAAATGCCTAACAGTAGAAGATATAAAGCTGGCTCATTTTGCCCTGTTTTTTACACATCTTCATTTCAGCATTCAAAAAGAATATAAAATTCCCAGTTCTGATTTCTCTGTAAAATTTTTTAGTGATAATATTATTAGAAGTAGAAATCATTATTCATCACCAGCCATGTACAATCTAGTCTAGCTTCAAACAGGTAGAATTCAACATACGGATCAACAAAAGCTTCTGCATTCTCCACAGTTCCTTCTTCACTGTGCTTAATTTGCTAAGTTACTGCAGCTACAGTCACCAGACCTACACCTCACAATTCATCCAAATGAACACAAGACTAACCAGTTTACTTCCCCACACACAAAATTATTACTTAAAGTACTTATTTCAAAATGTTAGAGTGTAAGCCTACATCAGAAACCCCAATTATTTTTAAAAGACTTTGAAAAGAAAGCCTTTGGAAAAAAAAAATGCTGTTAAGACAACCACATTTGTTACTCATTTATTCTGAATTACATCTGCAGAGAGTTTGCATCATTAATTTAATTAGCAACACATTGGCCTACTGAATCTTATTTGCTCAGATAGCTTTGAGAAATTTGGGTGTTCTGTGCACAAACAGGTGAGGATTTATTAAATATTTTTTAAATGTCTAAAAGACTGTGAACAAAACTGAAGCTCAAAGGCACCTGTTCTTCCTATAAAACATCCACAACTTCTCTCCATGCAACAGTCCTCTTATTTGCTTGCTTTAAAATGTAGATATTGTTATGGCAGGCAGGTGCCCAAGCTGGATTCGGTGCTCTTCACTGCCTGGGCTCACGTGCTTGTGGGAAGGAACAACTTCCCCCAGTAGAGTCGCCAACCCCACGAAGTGGAAATTGAAGCAGTGTCATTAGGGTTACCCAACACAGAGTTACACCAACTAAAGCCGAGTCCCACCCTACCACGATGTGACCAGAAGGATATTCCACCAGTGGCAGTGCCCATGTGAGACTCTACAGGTTTACACTGAACTTTCTTCTCACCTGCCCACTGCTGGCACAAACCCTGTGCTAGCCTGTCCTGCAATTCCTCTCACAAAAGGAAGAGGCCAGGTAACTCACACTCTCTTTAAACATACCAAGTAAAAGAGGATGATAAAGCCACCTACCTTAAAAACAAAACAAAACAAAAAAAAACTTAAACCCATAATCAGTTACTAGGAAAAGTTACAAAGTTCTTTTCCTGTGGCAAGTAAATCACGCATTCAGACAAGATAACAAACCTTCAGCAACATATAATTACTGATTTTAAGAGAAAATTTTGATCCTTCCCATTATCAGAGATCAGGGGAGAATTACATGTCTCAGACTAGTTATAGCCATGACAACACACAAACCTAACCATAAGCACAGGGATCACTGAACTAGGAAAGGACTTGAGATCTCTTCACTAAGACCTGTCTGGGAAAGAGTGTAATTCCATAACCAAAGGGCATAAAGCAGACAACTCAGGAAATAGTGTTTAATGGCAGATTAAAGAATAGTGGAAAAGGGTAAGATTTAAACTTGATGAAAATACCAAATTTCAAATTTTATTCTTAATGTAGTAAAGTATTACAGCTACATAAACATTACAATTCTCTATATGACGAGTTAACAAATTGTATCACTCTTCTGATTTCAGGTTATTGTGAGGTCTCTCCAAAGCTATCCCGTGGGAACCAAGGTGACCCACCTCGAACAGAGCCCCTGCTCCTTCTCAAGACTAAGAATACCACAGCAGATTTCCAAAAGGATCTTTAAAAATGGTATACCAAAACAGATTACTATATTGCAGCACTTTTCAATGCAGACACTCATTGTTTTCCATTTAAGAGTATTAATGTGCTTACTTTTTAAAAAAAAAAAAAAAAACAAAATACAAAAAACAAACAAAACTTTAAGGCAGCTTGTTCTCATAGATCTGTATAAAAACTGTACATTGTTGCAATGACTGAGGGCACTTAAGTTACATGCAACACTATTACTTTCTTTTCTTAACATAACACCACCTAATTGTGGAGATTTTCAGATTCACAAAACTAGGTAGCTGAGTCATCCACGTCACTGCCAGTAATTACTCACAAAGTAGTTATGCAACTCCTAACACTGACAAAATTCAGTGGCCTTTGACAGATCAGGCTCAGAACATGCTTAAGAGGATGGACTGAAAATATTGGCCAAAATCAAAGATGTATTTATTTAAACTGGCATGGGCAAAAGATTATATACAATAGCAGCGAAGCTCAACTCACAAATATGCCTTCTGGAAGGCAGCAACTTTCAGTGCAGCCCATTTTTCTAGCAGAATACTTTATTTCCAGTCGCTTTATTGTTCCAGCCTTGTCCTCCTTATCACTGTCAGCCAATTAAAGCAACTGGTTTCTTAAGTATTCATTTCAAAAATAAATATTTGAGTATGGGATGCATTTATGCAATAAACAATACTCATGTATTGCAAACAGGATACACTTCAGTCAATTACACTTCTCCTTTTAAATGTAAGACTACTTCTGTTAAATGAGCAGAAAATTCCAAAATTACTGTTGTCTGCCTTGTTCCAAGTATTTTTTGTATTTCATTCAGCCTTATCAATAAAGTGTTAACATCTACTGTTTCTTTGTAGACTGCAATCATATTTTAATAATCTACAACAGTTGATTATAATCAACACCCTCCTACCTATTTTTATTATCATGAAAAAACTTATTAATCCTATTTTAGAAGGAAAGAAGTTCACTCAATATTTGAAGCTTAAACTGCAGGACACTGACTCTTCCTACCTAGGCTTAAGCAATTCCCAAAGTAACAAAACTGCTTCACAAGTGACACTATCACAGGAATATAAGAACGGGCAGAAACAGCACAGTGTACAGTCCAAAATGTAATCCTCAGCACTTCCAAGACCACCAATGTGAAAAAGGACAAAATAATTCAATCCTAAATTTCTTCCAAAAGCTCATGTTGTTTTTATGCCTTGAAGCATGAAAATTTGTTTCCTACCTTCAAGATCACATTCTTCCCTCGCCAACTGCTTTTACTTTGTCAACACAAGCACTGCTTCACTGGAAATGCACTTATTTCTAATAATGCAATCCTAAATTTAGCCAACAAGAAGATTCCTCAGAGAAAACCATTTCTCAGATTTTTTCTTCCTATGCCACAACTGATGCACAAGAGCACCAGTAAACACAAGTACGTCTTCAAAATATAGGACTGTTTCACAGTAGCACTGTTGACTGTGGTTACAGTGAGGCCACGGTCACCGAGATCTATCAGCTTGCCAATATGTAAGGTTGTAGTAGCTACTATAGGCTATAATTAATTACCTAAATTTAAGTGAAGAATCCAAACCAACCCAAAACTCATTTTAACATAAAATAAGCCTTTGTTAAATCCACAAACCATGTAAATGTAGAATTCCAACAACTGAAAAGCGCTACACATCCCTGAGATGCACTTAATATAAAGTGTTATGACAATATGTTAATGTAATTTGGGAACTTCATACGCAACTTGAAGAAACTGGTTTTGATATAAATGAAGTCTCAAGTGCTGCTAGCCAAACGTAACACTGACGTAACAAACATGTCTCATGTTAATCAGAGCACAACTGAAATAGCTTTATTATGGAGACCCTGTTAAGTAAGTAGTTCATGTACGGGCTTGAGGAAAATACAATGTAAAGAACAACTGTTGCAAACAGTTGCCCTCAGATGTTACAAACAGAGCCGTTTCAGTTGGACATCCACCTTCCTAGGCTCTGCTGGCTAGAGATGAGCGTGCCCTCAGCGCCAGGCTCCTACAGCAGTGCCCTGTCGAGCTCACATCCCTGTCGGCCCCAGCCCAGTCAAGCATTCAAAGAGAACTGAAATGTCACCACCGTCAGCAGAACTACCCGTCTGAGCTTTGCTGGGCTGGAGCCAGGGCTGGTTCTCCAGCCACTCTTGCTAAAACTGCCAATACAATATTTATGGCAAAATCTGTATACGAAAGCAGCACTGAACACAGTACTCCAAAAGCAGCACCAGCCTCAGTGGAAGGGTATTTATATAAATACTGAGAGATGCACAGTAGCCACGGATGTTCACATTTCAGCTGCAACACTCTGAGTTTCATTATTTTTACACTGATGTATCGCAGTATTCTTAAAAAACAGACCAACAGGGCCAAGAAAGTTCTCAGACCTTCAATAAGCTTCATACCTTAACTACAGCATCCTATTTTTACAAACCATAAGATTAATAAATAAGCCTCAATATTTCTGCTGACTTTTTAATCCTTACCTGTAGCTTTACCAACATAATTAGGATTTCTCTAATATTAAGTTACAGGGACTGCATCAAGTATTATTAGATCATTAGAATATTTTAAAGTGTTACATTGTAGCAGCCATAGTGTAGAAAATTATGTCCAGTAATTATAGTACTTGGAAGTGGCACTCTGTAGACACAGCTACAGAAAAGTTAAAAAAAAAAAAAAACAAAAAAACAAAAAACAAAACAACACTAAGAAATTTAAAACCTCATAGTTTTATAGTTTTATTCCTACCTTGAATTATTGGGGTTTTTTTTTCCCCTTTATATGTATACTTTTTTATCAGAGAATAAGATTCAACAAGATCCTTGAAAGGATATCCTTTTACTCTTCCCAAAACTTTAACCTACTCTTGTTTTGCACACTTTGTCTTAGAGATGAATTGGCTACAGATCGTTTTACTTACGATAAGGAAAGCCTACTGCATCATGGAAAGCAAGTCTGACCAGTTTTAAGAAGCTTTATTTAGATAACATCTTCTGTGTGTCTAATACACCTAGGTGCAATCTTTTATTTGTCATACTTGACACACAATCCTACTCTTCTGATTTAAAAGTGCAAAAGTTTTAACACTTGAGGGTCACATTCTGCTGAGATAAATGGCAAAACTGGTTATGCTTTAACAATGCATGTATTCTCTTGTAAACAGCATTTGGTACTTGCTTATGAATATACCTAGAGTGCTAAGAAATACCTCCAAGACACTCTCAAAGTCGTTCCTCGTTCTTTGCAATGTTTAAGTATCCAAAGCTAAGTCACACACTGCTGGTTCTTTCTGCTAGCTGCGTATATGATAATCATTGTGTAGATCTTCAACGAAAAAGCAAAGGGACCTCTCCTAATGACAACCTGCCTGAGTGCACAACCAGGTTAGCACAGTCGAATTTTCAGAAGTTAAAAGTAACTTTCCACAGGAGCTCTGGCCACAAAACTGAGTTTACAGAAAAGCCTCCAGCGCTGGGTGTGAACTGGGAGCCGACAACTGTGCCATTAGCGCCGTTCGGAAGGCGCCACGAAGCTCGCCGCCCTTCCCTCACCCTCCCCAGCCAAGCCGGCTCTCCCCCAGCCCCGCACGCGTGGCCGCTGCCCCGCACCCGCGCCCAGGCGGGGAGCGCCGCTCGCCGCCGCCCCCCGAGCCCCGGAGCCGCCGCCGGTTGTGGAGCGGCTGCGGGGGAGGCCGGCGGGGACGGGCCCTCCCGCGGCGGCGGGGACGGGCTGCGGTCGCGCCTGGGGCCGGCGCCTTCGCAGGACGGGCCGGAGCCCGGGCGAGCTGCCGGAAAGGCCGGTCCCGGCGCGGCGGCTCCGGAGGGAGGAGGCGTAAGCAGGCCAGGTACCCGGGCGGCAGCGCCGGGGAGGCGGCCGAGGAGGGCGATCCCGAGGGAGGCGGGGAAGCGGCGGCGCCACCGAGAGCACCGGGATCCGGCGGGGGAGGGCGGCGGGCAGACTGGGGGCAGCGAGGCGGGGAGACCCGCGGAGCCGGGGGCGTTGCGGTTTGCTCGCCCTCCGCCCCGGCGGCGGGGAGGGCAGGTGCCGGCGGGGAGCCGGCAGCGGAGCGGCGAGCCCCGCCCCCCCCCCCCCCGGCCCCACACTGACCTCGCCGCCGCTCACGTACAGCTCCATTTTGTGGCAGGGCTCCGGCTCCTCCGCGTCCTCCAGCGGAGCGAACGGCACCATGTCCCGGCTCTCTCCTCCCTCGCCGGGCAGCCGCCGCCAGCCGCTGCGCACCCCCCCCGGCCCGCGGCCGGCTCACAGGCGGCGGGCGGCCGCGGCGGGCCCCCTCCCCCTGCGCATGGAGCGCGGCGGCGGCGGCGGAGCTCGAGCTGCGGCTGCTGCCGGCCGGCGGGGGCGGCGCCGCTCTGCGCTCCCCCGCGCACACCCCCCAACATGGCGGCCGTCGGGGGCGGGGCCTGCGCGGCATGGGGATGACGTCAGGGCGGGACGGAGAATCCCCTGCATGGGGGGGGGGGGAGGGGGGCTGATGACGCGCGGTGACGCGCGGGCGCCGTTAACGTTCCCGCGGTCGGGCGGCGCCTCGCTGAGGGGGGACAGGGGTGGGGGGGTGACACACACACACCCCGGCCCCCGGTGAGGGCAGCAGTGCCGCGCGGGGCGCTGCCTTCCCGCCGGAGGGACCGCGGTTAAGCGGCGGGGGCGGGCGGCCGCCGGACCTTCCTCCTGAGGCTGAGGGGAAACTGAGGGAGGGCCTCGAAGAGCGGCGCGGGGGCATTTAAAACAAAACAATGGGGGTAAAAAGAGCGGTCGTGTGAAGTCAGCGAAGTAACCCCCGGCTACGAGAGACCGTTGTCCCGTCAGCCCACCGAGAAACACGCGGTCCCTACCGTAGGTGCCTTGCGTTCCCCTCATCAGCGCTGGCGGGCCCACCTGGGGGGCAGCTCCCTCCTAAGAAGGCGACACTTTGGGCAACCCGGCTGTGAGGAGGAAGGCTCTCGTTGCCGGTGAAGCGACAGAGAGGGAAAAAACGGGAAAGTTTAGTTTTATTTTTCAGAATTGGGAGGTGGCAGGCTACGAAGCACAGGCAGCTGGCGAGCAGAAAACCGTAGCCTGGTTCCTCCTGGGTTCTTCGGGAGATGAAAAGCCTGAATAAGCTGTATGCACGTCTACAAGAGAGCGAAGCAGCCTGCTTCACCGTGGTTACAAACACCAAGGGGATGGACTCCTTTGTTTCCAAGCATGTGTTTAGAGAGAAACACTACAGTATTTCCAAACCCGAGGGGTAGAAAAAAGACCACGGATGAAGAAATAATATTTCTACATCACCGTTTGATTTTAGGAAAACACTAGATGATACTATCAAAGGTACATATTTTTAAGGATAGAAAACTGCCTCAATGACACTGAGTTTTTATTTAAACACTCTGTATGATTTATTAGTACGCCCTGCCCTTTAGATAAAGCTAGCAAACAAAGGCTTAAACAGTTTTTAATTTCCAAATAATTTTTATGAAATTAGCACAACCAAGGAAACAAACTGGTAGACCTCATAGTCCAGAATGCTTTCCCGCGCTGATTTTTTTTTACTCAGAAGTCAGTCTTCGTACAAACAAGCATATAGTGTAAGATACTGTGCTGCTGTAGTCCTTGATTAAATTAGAACGACCTGTTTCACGAAGCTAACCATTACCAGTTCCCTGTCACTCAGCCTACTGAAGAGAGTTGCCTATTGTGAATGTGTCATTGCAGCAACAGCCAGCTGGCATGTCAGCATTTCCATTGCAAACCTATTTTTAAAGGTCTGTAACTCAACCATGGAAGACAAATGTTTTGGACTGAAACGGGGAGTATGTATCAGGAATGTTCATCCTTCAGAAAATTCTATGTATGCAATAAAATGTAGGGCCAAAGTTACCAGTAGTTAATATCGAGAGAGAATTTACATTTCAAATATAGAACTGTTTAGGCTAGGTCAGTTGCAAACATTCATTTTTGTCACAGTAGGATTGTGAAAACATGGAGTTTTTAAAGCAATTAAGTGGCAGGAGACGAAGGGACGAGCCCCAGCTTCATGGGCCTTTGCTCCACACAGAGCCACCTACCCCCTGTGCCTCTGTTTGTACAAATGGTGTGCATCCACAAGAAGCCAAATGGCCAATTTTTTTCTGTGAGATTAAGTATGTACGTACTTGAGCAGTGCCATGAGGCAGATCTTAAATATAAAGGAAATCAAGTGAGAAGTGACTTTTTAAATGTGCTTGAGTGCTCAGCAAGAACTTATGTCTAAACTTGTGTTTCAGATGCTGTCTTCTTGCACTGACTTTTCCTATTGCCTCGAACAATAAGAGATTGCAAACAAGGATTCTACATCCCCAAAGTCTTAACACTCTGTAATATTTGACAAGTTCAGAGAAAAGTGATAATCAAAGAAGTTAGGATTGTTATTCATGTCAAAGACTATAAAAGAAAAATTATGATATATGTAGATAAAATAATGACTGAATAAGAAAAAGTACATTCAGAATGTCTTTTACCCTAGGTCTTGCAAGCAAAGAAGCAAAAGGAATTCAATAAAAAGGCAACAATATGTCACTGAAATTTAAAACTTGGCAAGACACACCCCCCCATATGAGGAGAAATAAACCACCAAAAATATAATAGCAAGTCATTAATTTAGGAGGACCAACTCCTTGTGTCTTGGATTTCAAATGAATATTTAAATATTATATATTTGGATATTTTTCTTCACTTTTTCTAGCTGGTGTCCATGACTGTATGGATATCAGTTCTCAGTTGGTGTGCAGTTTTCTGATGAGGATATCATATCTCATTTGGTGTGCAGTTTTCAGCTGAATATTTTTTACATTCCAGTACCTTAATTTGTTCAGCAGGTTCTGCCCATTATCTTCCTCAGCAGGTCATTGTATGATCAGTGTGACATTGTAACCACTTCTTCCTGTGTCAGGTACTTTTATTAGATGCAGGTTTTAGTCACCAGTTTCTAAATATTTATTCACTTTAAAATTAAATCTATGACATGACAAAGTTGCTGAGAATGCTTCTTTACTGAGCCTAATAGGTAAGGAATTATAATAATAATAAACAGGATCTGCAGCCAAAATTCAGCTTGTTCAGTGTCAGTAATGTGAACTCCAACCACTCAGTCGTCCCTTTTATAGACCTCAGGTCTGAAGCCAACTGACAACATCCATGCTTAGTTTGCTCATTCAATTTTCCTGAAGGTATCAGTCATACACTTGAAAATATGAAGAACAGATTGTTTATGAGGGTAAAAAAGTCCCTGCAAATTTCCTGCATATCATTCCTAGCAGGACATTTCTCAGAGAGGCATACTACAGAACTGTGTTCCCTCTTAAGTTTTCTGTCAATCTATATCAACTTTGTTCCTAAATAAGATTATTTTGAAAGAATCCTGCAAACTTTGTGTTCATTGACCCAGAATGTTTTTCAAGAAAGGAAAAATAAGAATATTATCATCAGGCCAGTGTCTTGTGTTCCCTTCCTCCTCCCAGTTAACGATACTGGAATCTGAACCACACTAACCATGGCAAGTACAGTGCAGCTCCACCCTGGAAAGCAAAGCAGAAAAAACAGTGTGAATATAGGAATATGTGAATAGTATCTAGTTCAGCTAGATGACAGGAAGGAAGCTATACAAGAAGCGAAGTTTGAGGAAACTGCCCAAGCCGAGACTGACGTTGTTCTATTTTGACTACGATGGTAAAACCCCTGCAAGGGAACAGGTACAAATTTAGCTTTTGTAGCTTCAGTTCAAGACAGACTGTGAACTCCAGTATCGATTGTGAAGGTGGTTTTGGAGGGGATACAGTTAATTTCTCAGGGCAAGTTTATTCAAGTTCATCATCATTTCACCTTTAATCTTTTGTACAAAACGGTTGAACAACACACAGTCAGAGCAGTACAACTCTTTCCTATTGTGTGGATGAATTTACGTGGGTACAAAGCATGCTTCTGTTAGCGTGACTCGTTCTCATACAAGGAGGAAAAAGAACTGTCCTGATGCATCAAAAATGTATATTTATATGCTTGTGTCTACACCAGAATTGTTCCAGAGGAGGAACTGATTTATGCAGAGGGTGAGGTGCTCTGGAGAACGTGCTCTCACAGGGATGTAAGACAAGTTCAGAGGCACAGTTGTGGCTATTAAGCTATGGAGATCTTATACACACAGCATAAATTGCTCTGGTCCTAATAAAATAAATATTACAGAAAGATTTTCACAATTTTAGAAACTAATATCACAATACCAAACCTCTGCATGTATTCAAATTAAGTTATGGAAGAGTACCTTGACAAAATCTTTAGTCGATACTGTGTTAGTCTGAATATGAAATAGAAACATGAGAGTTCATATCCCACCCTGTATATATTGATATTTAAAAAATGCAAATAGAGCCAAGCTCCTGTATGTGTGTATTAACAGAAATGTGGGATAAGATATCTTATAAACAGTTTGATATTGTTAAACAGTTTATTGTGTACACCACAAAGACAAGAGAAGACATTTACATGAGGGAACAGCAAGAATCACTTTTATACTCAGTTATGGTTATGCTGAGTGTGTGAAACATGAGTGAAGAGGCCCTTGATGAATCCCTGCTTCAACTTTATGATTATATCTTTCCATCTACATCTTTCATAATTTTGTAGCAAGTTTTTAAAAGCTCACAGATAAAAAAGGAAACCAATTTGAGATGATGCTCCTAGATCAACACCTTAAGAAAGATCCTTGATACTCACTATTTCATTCTCACCATCAGAGCAAACACTCTTCTCTTGGGCTATTTTAGAACCACAGGACAAACTTAGCAGCAAATTTTGTCAAGTTTGTCCAAAATGAGCTAAAGAAATATCTCAGCCATATGGAAAATACAATTAATTTATCTCTGCTGATCACACTGCTTTAACAGTAGGGGATAAAAACTGCAGATAAGCACAGTGAAGTAACATCCTACTAAATTTTTTGATGCTTATCTAAACTTTGCACTTAAAACTTTTTAGTTCTTCTTAATTTCAAAATGCATTTTGAATTCAAATGTCCTACAATATATTTTTTTCCCCCAAAAAATGAGTGAATACTACAAACCAGACAGCTGACACATCTAAGTTCTATATTATCAAATGAAAAGCTATGTACAGTCAAATCAAAGATCCAGTATCCCATCTCCAGCTCTGGCCAACAAAGCAGACACTAGGCAGAAAACGCAAACAAGGTAAACAGTAGCTAAAAGCACCTCTCCAGAATTTATTTTCATCCTCCAGCAATTCAGGTTTCATGAGCCAAGGGTAGTATCTTGCGTGGAATAGTCTCGATGGATATTTCTTCTACCAGTTCGCCCAAGCCTTCTTGAATATCTAAGTTT